TGCACATATGCCAATAACAGACTGATCAATTTCAGTCCAAAAATATCAATGGGAAAATTCAAGTAAAAACAATACCAAGTGAATTTAACTTATGTGTATATTAAGAGTTGATGTTAGCTATGTAGATCTTTGACGACAACAACAGTTAACTTCATCACTTTAAAAAAAACCCAGCTCAAGTTTAAATCAAGTCAGAAGACAGTTTTACTTCTCTACAACACACACTTTTCATACTGTGGTATTTATACGAATGAATGATTCCTTTGTACTAGATTTGTAGTGAACAGAACACGGGTAGACACAATCAAATTGTACTTAACACAACATTACAGAGTTACATGGTAAAACAGAAAAACCATATAGTAAATCGTTAATTTGCAAAATATCAATCCGTCATTTCAAACTGGACTTTTCCTGTTGCAAACATCAATCCGTTGTCTCACATTTCATTGTTCATGCGTTTTCTCACAAATTGCATTGTGTTCCCGCTCTTTCTTTCTTGATCTGCCCCCATCTTCTGCTGCCAGACATTACGTTCCTATCTCGCGTCATATACTACGTATATCAATATAAGTATCACGCACTACAGTGGGACGAATAATCCACCTAAAGGAGTTAGAAAACTCTGATTCCAAACCGCAAGTGGACATATGCTCCAGGATCCTGAGAGAACAAATGTCATATGAACCCATCGTTGGTCACTGACTACCACGGAACTGCATCTTCTAAAGTTCCTCCACTACGTTGTGGAATAGACCTGTAGGTCAAAGGGTCGGAGTGTACCTGTTTCAGTTTGGCCACCCGGGCAGTATCCCAGCCTTCATATAGGTCGAATAATTTGTGTGACTCATGTCTATTTGGTACCTTCTTGTACCAATGTTTAAGTATTTAAATAAATAAATGTAAAATCAAAATCGCAAGGTGTTTCATCTATAAAAACATGTATCTTCAGTTTATTCTAAAAGTTATAAGTCAAGACATAATATAATATAAAACAGTTTCCAATAGGAACAATAGGATAACCAATCCATATGTAAACATTCAAAACATGTTTGAACTTGATAGAAATGTAGACAAAAATCATATTCAATTAAGCATATTACATACAAGAAAATAACCATCTCATTTAGAACAAACAAAACTATAAGATAGTTATCATATACATATTTTTATTATTGATCATGCATACTGTACTTTTTGTTCAGCCTGAGTTGAGCTTATTAGGTGTAAGTGAGGTTTCAATATATTATTTACTTTATTTATTTATTTTAACACATAAATATTGGTTCAATGAGGCACCAAATAGGTATGGGCCACACAAGTCACTTGACCTGCGTGTGGGCTGTGACACTGCCCGGGTGCCCAAACCGAAGTAGATGGTTTTCTTAGGGGGCCACAACCGGAGCCTTCGACCTGAAGGTCTGATCCACAAGACAGTGGAGCAACGTAATGAGATGCAGTCTCATGGTAGCTGGTGACCAACGATTGGTTTATACGCCATTTGTTCCTTCAAGATTCTGGAGCCCATGTGCACCGTTGGTTTGGAATCAGAGTTTTGCAACTCCCCTATGTGGACTCCCATGTCCACCAACCTGGTTAAAGCGCCGGACATTCGGTTTTCGTCCTCTCAATGTCGTAAACAACGCCCCTGCCACAAGAAGGCAGTGAGTAGGACTTTCGTGGCAGAGGCTATATACGCGTGGCCATGTGAGAGCATTTGGATTGGGAGAGGTGACTCTCCCCACTCTCGGCCGTACCAAGGCATTTGGGGGCTGCAATATATTAAAGTCATATTAGTAAACATTTAACAAGATTAATTTTATGGTATTGAAAAAGTATTGTTCCTTCAAAGTTAAGTGGTTACAAAAATAAATTTGAGGCTAAATAATCAACTTTTGTTATAGATTTGCAATTCATTTATGATATTCGCTTATTCTAAATCCTTCACTTAGATTCAAGACTTTACTTGCCTACTTACTTACGCCTGTTACCTCTCGTGGAGGAGCATAGGCCGCGAACACTACGTTTTTCTTACAAATTGCATTGTGCTCCCGCTCTTCCTTTCTTGATCTTCCCCCATCTTCTGGTGCCAGACATTACGTTCCTATCTCGCATCATATATTACTTACATCAATATAAGTAACACGCATCACAGATTATCCGCTTGTAATGTATTCCAAATATAATACGTTCATTTGTGTTCATCTAATTCTGTCTGGCTTAAATTACACTGTTTTGGGAATTCCTAGTTAGTACAATAACTCGAGTACTTCTAATCATCATATATACAGTTTTATATTAGTTTTCTAATACTACTGTATTATGGGTTTCATTCTCTAGATCCGTTAGCAGATGTATGTAACACATAATGCGTACCAGATGACGACATAGTTTAAACTGTGTTTTTCTTTTTCTGTTATAATTCAATGACTGTTAAGAAGCAACAAACATTCTTAGAAGACTTTACTTACAATCGCAAAGAACAAACAATGTACCAAATGACTGAAATATAAACAGTTTCATCGCAATTACTATAGTTATTTTTAATCTGTTAGCCGTAGTAAGATAATTCTTATTTTACATACAGATTTTTGGCTACGACATAAGAGTATCCCAAATATATTTTTCAATTATTTTCGGAATTGAGGAATTTTGATCGAGTTTTATTCTCTGAGCTGGATAGTTTAGTCGTGGAGCTTTCATCGTTCTTCTGAACAAACAGTTGACTTCTCCATGAAGTTTGTGCTGATGTCGCCACACCGTCAGATTCGGCAAACTTTTTAGGTAAACCTTGGTCAACAAGTTTTTTCCTTTCCACGGATACAGGACCGCGACCCTACTGGCGAAGATAAAGATCACGCTCCATTATCACCCTTTTCATTTTTGAGACTAATCTATGGTAACAAGTCGCGACTGTTGCAGTAGTCATCAGTGCAACAGCTTGAAGTTAGTGCTAGTCTGAAATGACTTATCAAGAGCTACGGCTTCGCCTTTGGTAGTCATTAGGACTATTTCATTGTCGACGTTGATGTCGTCGCAACAGAGTACACTAGATAACACAAATTTCGCACTGAAGCAAATAGCGCACACTTAATCTACACATGCGTCTATACGTAAAGCGACTTACGGCAGTATCTTTAAGCATAATTCGTTTGTGCTTGATTAGCAGCTTTTCAAGAGGCATAATAACGCGACGCAAGTAAGTCTCATCTCGCCTATTGTCATAAAAAGCTACTTAGCATCTTATATGTCATGCATCGTGACCAGGTTGTCCTGTAATATGAAGGACTTTGATTGAACATACCCTTTCAGACATAAAACCAGTTTTTAACCGCCTAAGTTCCTCCATAACATCTCCACAACCCAGAAGCAAGCCCAAATGCATGAAAGACGTCCGAATATATGTTCCAGTCTCACAGAGCACCATTATTAACCCTTAATTTAGTGTTGCACGATTACAAGACTTACCCAAATTTTTAACCTTTTCATACTCTAACAGTTTACACTCATATATGTCTCTACCATCTGAGTTGAGGAATCTTAATTATTTGGATGAAAAACTATTAGACTTTAAAGTGAAACTTACACTGTATCATATACTATCTATCCTGTAAGTCATCGAGAAAAATAACTGTAAGATCTAGGTGCAATACAATTTTATTAATTTAATAGTTTAATTCATGAATCAATTGGAACTAGACCACCATGGAAAACCTCGAGGCACTGGACGGCCGTTTCGTCCTAGTATGGAACTCCTCAGCAGTACGCATCCACGATAATATATTAGATAATTCACTCATTGAAAATTATATGATCATCAATTAGTGAACACAGTTAATCGGTAAAATTGAAATTTTTATATTAACTATATTACAAGAATTATAAGCACAATAGATATTGCTGAAATTTATTAACAATCTTCTCTAGGAATTAAACTTCCAACATTATGTAACAAAAACTACCAAAAGAATGCCGGCTTAGAGGTCTACAGATTAAACGCTCGCGCGCGAGACCGATAGGTCCTGAGTTCGAATCTCGCGAAGAAGGATCGTGGATGCGCAGTGCCGAGAAGTTCCATACTAGGGAAAAACAGCCATCTAATGCTTCTAGGTTTTCGATAGTGATCTAGCTTCAATCGACTCATGAATTCAACTCAGTCAGTCAGTCAGCTACAACGTAGGACTAGGCATATATATGCATTGATCCAAGTTGCCATACCGCATTAGCACAACAAGATGAACACCGGATTCATAGGAGTGGTTAGGTCAAAGGTGGTAATATATATATAGGAGAAAGATTGCATATAAGGATATACTACAGGAAGAAAGAATTAGTTGGTAGAAAGAAGATATGAAGTGATTTTAATCTCATGGTTTAGGGGAAGATAGAGAGTGTTGTGAACACCTACACCATTGTGATCGATTCTGAGCCACGTCACCAAGAGTCTCCAACCATTGGTTACGATAGTCAGGTGGATCCCAACCAAGTAGTCTGCATCTACCAACATGGATAAGACTAGAAGTTAGTGACTTCAAGGATTGATGCCACATTGTGGTTTGGCCGCCCCTAACTTTCTTCCAACCATCCCCAACACCAGTAATCGGCATTCCAGCATACGTACCACGTGACCCAACCACCTTAGTCGATGAAGATTCATGAAATCATTATAATATTCATAAAACCTTCTTTATGATTATAATTTTATTAGTTTTAGAAAAAAAATAGAAACATCTTATAGAAATCTATGCAAAATATGAATGAATAAATGAATAAATAGAATCTTTACTTTATCATGTTACAAATTGTTTATCGTTTTGAAGGAGGAGAGAAAAGAAACCCCCCTATCACAACTGATAATCTAATAACAACATGATATAAAATGTCATAACCATACACTGAAATGCAATACTACTCATAGTAACAATAACAGTAATCATAATAATAATAATAATAATAAAGTGGAAGACATAGAGTTACCAATAATTTCTATCTTTTCATATTTAACGAATTGGTGATAAGAGTAATTGATCTTTGATTGTTTTCAATTCATTATTTTGTAAATCCTGATGATTGATCAAGATAAAACAAACAAAGAGAAATTTAATCAAGAATAGAAATATTAACTAAAAATATATAATGAATGTACATCAAAGAGTTACGTTTATTACAATATGATGAAGTGATTGGTAAGAGAAAAAAAAGTAGTTTATTTGTCAATGCATTGGTTTAGTGGTTTAGCGCTAGCGCACGAGGTCTTGGGTTCGAATGTCACAAGGTAGGATCGTGGATGCACATTGTTGAAGAGTACTATATTAGGATAAAACGTCTGTCCAATGCTGCCTGGTTTTCCACAGTGATCTAGTTTCAATTAACTCATGATCTTAACCATTGAGTTTAGAATCTACTTCATCTGTTACTGTAACCATCAAATATTATAGAAAAGATTGTGACTGAAAATTAACTACATGGGAGTTGAACTTAGTCAACGGGTTATATAAAAAAAAAGCGATGATTTAGTAGGTAAACCATTCGACTTCTAACTATTAAGTCCCTGGCTTGAACTTTGTCGCATTTAATTCAGTTTGGGCAATGGATTAGTATGATTAGCTCTGACAATTAAAGTGTACTTCATATCCAATAACCCATGGTAGCTGGTTACCAACGATTGCTTCATACACACTATACAGCTTTTTCGTCCTAGTATAGTACTCCTCAGCAGTGCGTATCCACGACCCCGCCCCACAAGATTCGAACCCAAGATCTATCAATCGATTGGTCGTTTCATTTTTATTGTGCTCTAGCAGTACTATACTTTAATTCCTGTTGGTGTATATTACTTCTATGCTATTGGTTTGAAATCCAGTGTTTTCATTTATAGTCAGTTTTTTAATATACTTCAACACTTGATTATTTTTCTTGCAAAAATCAAATCTTTGGTATTATATGTTATGTTTATTGATGTTTCAGTTAATACTGGTTCCATCAATATTGTCTGATATAGCCCCCAAATGCTATGGTACGGGCGAGAGTGGAGAGATTCACCTCTCCTTCTCCAAATGCTCTCACTTGGCCACGTGAATACAACCACTGACAGGGAAGTCCTGCTCACTGCCTTCTCGCGCTTTTACTGTTGTTTACGAAATTGAGAAGATGAAAAGAGAATGTTCGACGCTTTGATCGGGTTCGTGAACACGGAGAGTCCAGTTAGGGGAGTTGGAAAACTCGGATTCCAAACCAATGGTATACATGTACTCCAGTATCTTGAAGGAAAAAAAGGTGTATGAACCAATCGTTGGTCACCGTCTATCATGGGACTGCATCACCTTACGTTCCTCCGCTGCCTTGTGAATAAGACCTTTAGGCCGAAGGCTCTGGTAGTGGCTCCCTAAGAAAACCACCTACTTCAGTCTGGGCAGTCGAGTAGTTTCACAACCGACACACACAAATCAAGTGACATGTGTGTACTAATCTTTATATCAGATGGGTTTCGTGGATATTATAGTAATTTCAATGGTTAAGATAATGAGCCATTTGAAGCTAGACCACCATTGGAAACCTGGAAACATTGGACGGCCGCTTCGTCCTATTGTGAGACTCTTCAGCAGTGCGAATCCACGATCCTTCCTCTGCGAGATTTGAACCCAGGACCTACAGGTTTGGCGCACGAGCACTTAACCACTAGACCACTGAGCTGGTCGGCATCCAAGTGTGTTAATGTCTAACTTCAACTAGTCCACGAAATTGAGCGATACATCCATCATTATCTTCAGTGAGTTACTATCTCACAATAGACCTGGTTAAACTCCATTGATCACTACTTCTAACTAGAACTCCAGGATATACCTCTTGAAGCCAGTTACTAGTGAGCATATGTTGATTATAATCAGAGAGAGGTTTTATGGATATTATAGTAGTTTCAATGGTAGTTCCTGGGTTTGAATCTCGCAGGGGCCGAAGTCGTGGATGCGCACTGTTGAGGAGTCCCACAATAAGACGAAACGCCCGTCAAACAGTGCTTCCAGGTTTTCCATGGTGATCTAGTTTCAACTGACTCATGATCTTAACCATTATTCTTTATATGTTTAAATAAATAAGTAAATGAGATGAAGAATACAACAAACCTTTTGTTTCACTTCTTCAGTTAATGATAAAATACGCATATCAGTTTGTCGACGTTCATATGTTAATTTATTTAATTTTCTTTCATATAAATCATTTTGTTTATCTTGATTAATTAAAGCATTATTTAATTGTTGTTCATATGAATTAATAAAATCATACTGTTTCTCTTGTATTGTCAACATGCTTGAATGAATCTTATCAAAATTCATTTTTAATGATTCTTGTTTCTAAAAGAAGAAACAAAAAACAAATTACATAATAAAACATAATTGAAACTAACAGATGACGGGTGAAGAAAGTTTGCTTTCAATGTTAAAAATGCTCTTATATGGCTACAAGTATACAACCACTGACAGGGAAATTCTAATCACTGTTGTTTATGAAATTGAGAAGATGAAAAGCGAATGTCTGACGCTTTAGACTGGTTCGTAGGTATGGAGCCACTGGCTTTATTCTGAGCCATATCTGATAATGTCTCTAGCCACTGTATTGCACATCTCTAGTACCCCAGGCAGGGAGTCGAGAAGGACTAACAGAAGTCAGCCCTTTACAGCTTCCTTTCATACCCCGACACCATGTCATACACTGACCACCTCTCCGCTTTTTCCAACCAATCTCAGAGTCGACAAATAATGCACGACGTGGAATTCTCTGGGACGATGCTAGACCTCTGCATTACTTACATGATGTTGCCACTAAATGTCAGCAATCGTTCGGAGACAACGATAATCAAACACAGAGAGCCGACTAACTTTCTCAACTCGGAGAGGCCTAGTTTCACAAGCATAGAGCAAAATTGCTCTCACTGACGCGTTATAGACCCGACCTTTTACAGCAAGACTGACATCAAAAAAGAACAAGTGGCGTATAAATCAATCGTTGATGACCGGCTATTATAGGATTGCATCTCCTAATAATGCTCCACTGTCTTGTGGATCAGACCTTTAAGTCGAAGGCTCCGGGTAGTATGATAGCCCACACATAAGTGACTTGTGTGGCGCATATGTATTCAGTGCACCTTTGTACCAATATTTATGTGTTCATTACGTAAGACATTTTTATCTTTAAAATTAATGTTACATCTGTTGAGATGTTTAACTGATTACTATTTTAAAGGAAACATTGTTTTATATTATTCGTGTAATACCTTGCTGACGAACTCACTGGAAAGAAATATTTCTTCGTTCAATTTGCGTTATTGTTGGAAAACATTGTGTTACTGCTGCTAGTTTCTTCATAAGAATACGTTGAAGTAACTGTATAGTTATGATATAATAGCTGGATGAAGTTATTTCCTGCTTTCTACAGTATCCTATTATAGTACGATAATAGGACAAGGGATCAAGATTTATCCTACTACTAGATTGGATATTCGATCGATGTGCTATACACAGGCTTGGATCACGATTCATGACCAAAAAGTAGAAAACAATCAGTCTATACTCATCTATTCCACAGTACAAATCAATAATAATAAGAAAATTATACAATAAATGTTCAGAAGCCAATCACATCTAACATTCATTACACACAGGTTTAATTAGATGGTATACTGTAAATGATTGATGAAAAACTCTATTCACGTAGTGAAATTACTATATATGGTGATCATTGTCAGATTATCTGAATCTTGTGAAGATCTGCCACAACCTACATACGTCAGAGTAAAAAGTATATAAATACACAGACAAATCTTCATGTCAAAACTGAACTGAAGTAATATACAACTCATGGATTCATCTGTGATACAATACCATGCCTACAACCCGTTTCACATATACTGCATAGCCACAAGGATACGAAATGCTCTGACCACTTTGTAGTTATATGTAACCTTGTCTGAACTTACCATTAATCGCAAACGACGTCCTTGTTAAGTTATTAGAATAAGATCAAGTATTTATTCATTTAAACACATAAACATTGGTACAAGAAGGCATCAAACAGATATACCCCACATAAATCATTCGATTTGTGTGAGGGTTAGGATACTGCCTGGGTGCCCAAATCGAAGTAGGTGGTTTTCTTAGGGGGGCTACACCCGGATCCTTCGACCTAAAGGTCTGATCCACGAGGCAGTGGAACAACGTAAGGATATGCGATCCAATGGTAGCTGGTGACCAATAACTGGTTCATACTCCATTTGTTTCCTTTAGGATGCTGGAGCCTATTTGCACCAGGATAGCTTTCAGATTATAATCGAAAAGAGAAAAACAGTGGAAAATAAAACATCTAAAATTTAACCCTGTGGAGTAACAATAGAACTTCTTAATAAGTAAGTGTAAGTTTACAGCACAAAACTTTCAACAAATGTATCATTTAATACAAAATTACGACAGAATGATACACAATTTGACTTCTCTAATCAAAGTATTGAAAGTAGAACTCGAACTGATAAAATTCGATTGATTTAATCTATTAACAAATCATTTAATCCATCTTGAAATTAATATTCTCTTTGTTGAAAAAGTAAGTTGCTGTTGTCATCTGAATAACACTGAATAAAGAACTGTTTCGTCTTCTTGTTGGATGTCGGCTCAATGGTCTAGAGGTTAAACGTTCAAGCGCGAGACCGTTAAGTCCTGGGTTCAAATCTCGAGAGGTAGGATCGTGGATGCGCACTACTGAGGAGTCCCACAATAGGACGTAATAGATGTCCAGTGCCTCCAGGTTTTCTACAGTGGTCTAGTTTCAATGGACCCATGATCTCAACTGTTGAAAGTACTATAATATACACAAAAACCACCTCTGATACTAAAAAAGTGTTTATGATTTCATGGATTTTTGAATGAAATTAAATGATTCAGCCCTGTTTTTTTGATGACTATTATCTAGTTATAATTTGTTGCATAAAAATGTTTTTATTTGTTATAACACAATCTAATTATAATGAAATAGTATGGAAAACAAGACCAATGGTCATTTCTACCAGGGTATTAACATTCATTATAACTAACCTTTTTAGCAAATTGTAATACATTTTGTGCACGTTCAACACGATGCATCATATCTTTATATACAGCAAGCATTCGTTTCGCTTGATCCATTGTTTCATTACGTTCTTCAATTAAATGTATAAGTTTTGTAGTTTCTACTAATTGACATTCTGATATGATTGTTTCAGCTTTGACATAAGTAGATTGATAATCTTTAAGTACCGATCTGAATGAAGGAATCAATCAATAAAATATACTACTAACAAAGATCTGTTTCTGATAAGTTGGAAACATGTGAAAAAAGAATCAGTATTTCAGAAGAAATTTATGATGAATTCAGTTATCTCTGTTGAAGATGAAGTGTTTATCACATGTAAATAAGCACTTATCAAATACAGATTGAGGCACTTGACTTTGTTTTTAAACGTTATCGATATTATCTAACAGCTAAATGATTGAAAATCTAATATAATAATACAATTCAGCTACTGAAAACTGAACGATAGTAAGCATGAATTAGAACAATGTGAAATAAACAGATAGAATGTACCAAGTTATGGAATTGAGGAAAAGCATTTCACCCTATTTGTGACAAGTCAACACTAAAATCTCTTTGAATTGATCAGTGTTAAGCCATCATGCAAAACTAGGTCGTTTTATCCTACTATGGGACTCTCCAGCAATGCGCGTCCACGATCTTGCAGGCGGAATCCAAACCTAAAACATTCGGTTTCGCGACAACGATTGACCTCTAGACCATTGAGCCGGGTTACAACGGCGTTAATGTCTAACTTCAATCAATCTACAGTGTTTTGCAACCATTTTCGATTACCTTCGGTGGATAACTGCTTCACACCTGGTACAGTTGTACCCCACTAATAATGGCTCATTACTACCGTCAATGAAGTACTAAAAAACGAATCCAATGGAGGTAGGTATTGATGATGTAGATCTGCTACCTGGAGAAAGACTATTCAACCTTGTATATACGGATGATATTGTCTTATTGTGTGGTGAAACTGAAGCCTTGTAATCTTCACTTAATAAACTGGCAATCAGTGATCGTAATTATGGCACATAACACTTGTAAATGCAAAGTACTTTTACAAGATCGACAGGAGCCTGCGTCTGGACTTACTCTTAGCAATGAGTCATTGGAAGTAATCGAAAATTGCATGTATTTGGGTAGCTTTTGTAGTGATAGTAATGGGGGAATAGGTGGTGTAAGGTCTATGACCGTGAAGCTAGGTAACGCATGATAGGGTCTGCCGGGGAGTATCAGTTCCCTGAAGAACACAGGTAAACCTTTCTGTTTAGGTCAGATGTTTCTTACCAACTACCACCTTACATTGAAAATGTATACTTACTGAATACAATCTTTCTTCACTTTATTGTATTATTCCAAAATATAATTATCTGTACTGACTTCAACATGGCGTCCACGCTAACAAGTAAAAGTGACGATAAAGCTTTGAAATAATATACATTAAATATAAAATGTTGCCAATCATTTGACTTCGAAGAAAATCGTCAATGTATTAGAATGAAATAACTGTAAGCCTAATCAGTTTTTTTGGTAAGCCAAAGTTTCAGAACGAAATGAAATGGTCTAAGCTTACAGTAGAGATTAAATATCTGACATAGAAAGAACCCTGTATTTTTGTAAGTGCTAATATATGTCATATGATTTTACGGCAATGATACTCAGGCAATTGTTCAAGGAAGGCAAAATCCGACTCACACGTCCGTGTCGTGCCTCCTGGATAGTGGGACCGTAACCCATGAATGAACGTGAGCGGTAACCCGGGTGGTAGAGATCGGGCTAATTACCCACTCGAACGATAACCTCAAACCGATTACGAACTCCACAGCACAATTACTCTTGGAGGGATAAACGACAAAAGATTCAAAAAAGGGTGCATTCAATGTACGATGTTGCTCTTCACGGGGCAAACTTCAACTGGTTGCAAAAATATCTATTCTAGATACGGCTTGTCTTGTGACGCAGTTGGATGCTTTCCTCAGTGTGTGTCCTACTCACTTCCAGCGTTTCTTCCTGATTTCTTCCCCCGCTAGAATCTGGTTTGTTCTCTCCCAGAAAATGAAAACATTCAAAAGAAATGCAATTGATTTATTTTTTTAAAGAACTCATGATTTGTAGAGATAGTACACTAAAACCTAAGCAGTAACTATTGTTCTCTCCTACAGTAGGTTTTTGCTGATAGTCTGGCTAACGGATCCGAAGTATTTTGCGTAGACAACTGTAAATAAACACTTGTATCTTTTGGATGATGGCTTTCGTAGTACTCCAAGTTTCCGCCCCATACTGTAGAATTGTCTTGATATTTGGATAGGAAATTCTGACCTTGGTGTTGGTCGGCAGATAGTTGTTTTGAGTTCCAAATTTTGTTCAGTTGTAGATATGCTGCTCTTGTTTTGACGATCCGCACCTTCACACCTGCACCAGATCCACTGTGTTCATCAATGATGCTGTCCAGATATGTAAAGGTTTTTACATTTTCCAAATCTTCTCCGTCAAGTGTGATTCGATTGATACATAATAATAATTACAGAATTCACGCCAGTTTACAGACATGATCAATTTGATATAAATAGTAACATTAGATGTACAGAACAAACATGTCATAGAAGGAAGTTTTAAGTACACTGGTTCAGTAATTGTTTAGGTAATACATGTATTACAGCGATCCAAATGGACAGTCTGTTGCTTTATGGACAATGTGTGTGTTTCAGAGAATCTTGCTTTTCCGTTTGTGTATGTTGAGACCTACTCCTGCTGAGGCTCATGTTACACTGTTCGTCTTCCCTTGCATTTTTTGTTGCATGTGCGATAGAAAAGCCAGATCAACTCCACCTGAAACCCCTCTGAGGTTACTGCAGGTCACAAGCCCGGGCAAAGGAGTATGGTTAGCGACCCCATCCCGTAGGAAACTAACTCGCTAAAAAACGCTAACCAGAAAAAAAACTATTCAAACCATTTAAACTCTGCCCTAGGAGTTAGAAGGTCTTCCATTTACATGAGTTATGACGTCTCATGGTGAAAGCCGAGTACTTTCGAAAGTCATGAGGCTAATGCCCTTTCTGACAATCAGTAATTATTAATTTTGGTACATGGAATGCTCGTACAATATGGGAGATCAAACACGTGGTAAAGAATAAATCGAGCATTTATATCCTCATTATTATTATTGTAATAATACAAACATTAGATGCTGATAATGTAGTGAACAAGAACACCCGTGGGGACAATCGAATGTATTTGACACACAATTACAGAACTTGTTAACAAAACCTAACAATCATAAAGTAAATGCTTAATTTGCAAAACGTCCATCAATTGTCTCATAATAACTTGGACTTCATTGTTCATGTATTTTCATATAAATTGCATTCTCCTTCCATTGCTTACTGTTCGATCCTCTTGTCTCTCTGCTGCCAGACATTCTGTTCCTGACTAGCGTCATATACTACTTATGTCAATGTGAGTAGCTCACAGCACAGTAATACTTTCAATTTGCAAAACATTTTTTAAAAAAATAAACAAATGCATGAAATTAACTTACTTCCATAGATCAGCTTCATTTTTTAACTGAGTAATTTCATCACGTAAGTTTTGTTTTGTTATTTCAATGTTTTCAAGATTCTCAATTACACTATTATTATCCTTAATCGAAATGGATAATGCGGATTTCGTAGGTGACGAAGAAGAGATCGAAGGAACAGTAGTGGTAGTAGTACTAGTAGTTCCATTATGTTCATGACATGATTGATTATTATGATCAAAATCATTTGTAGTAATATTGTTATCAGTTGTATTCACATCTTTTATATTATTAAGTAGTTCTTTTAATGGTGATCGGGATAAATTTGATGTTGATGAATTATTTTCACTTTTCATGCTCACATCATCAATATCTTCATGTATAATCTGAAGAAATATTGATAAGACAAAACCAAATTATTAAGAAAAATAATAATCTTTTAACAGTATAGGAGGTTGTGGAGATTATTAAGTTATTGATTGATGTTAGAGAACCATTGAAAACCTGGAAGCACTGGAGAGTCCTTTCGTCCTGGTAGTCTAGTAAGTTAAGCGTTCGCGCGCGAGACTGGAGACCTTAGGTTTAAATCTTGTGGGCGGGATCATGGACGCGCACAACTGAGGAGTTCCACAATAGGACGAAACGGCAGTCCAGTGCTTCCAGGTTTTCAATGGTTGTCAAACATCAATGCGTTCAAGATCTCAATCAATAACCTTTCAATTCATTTGACTAGAGAGTTGTATATATAATTATATCAGTCATAATAAACGTCACAATATCATATTCGAATGGAGAGATGACAATTATAAAGGTGCATAGTAAAAGAATCAAAGAAATAGTAGTTTGAATCATAATGAGAGAGACTAAACAATAAGAATATGCTTTGAAAAGATATGAAGAAAAATACAGAGTAAATGGAACTGCACCACTGTGATCCACATTAAGCTATGTACATAGATATGAAACATGTTAAACGCTTTTTATTACATAATAGTTCACAAACTGATGATACTAGTTCATGATGATGAAAAGAACATTCCCTCTGTTACATAAACATCCACATAAATATAATGGTTAGATGAGTTTACTTTTTCCGAAGTTTGGAAAGGTTACTTAGTTAGAACAATGTTAAACACTATCCAATGCTAAACGTACTGAACCCTGAATTTGAGTCTTATTGTGAACATCAGCAATCATATGTAAGTACACTACATTTCGCTAACGAATCCTGAACAGGACGAAATAAACACTGAATTCTCATTGATATCCATTATTTAAAATGATATCGCTAGTGAATTTGATGTGTTAGTAATACTACTTTAGATTAGTCTACACAAAAAGGAAGATTATGACTCTACAGACGACTCAGTCATTCATAATAATCAATTCATCATAAGTAAATTAATTAGCTTATTATTTCAGTCATTACCTTCGTTAAGTTTATGACATCTGGGATAGATTAATTCAATTGAAACGGTTTATTTGTTTGCATGCCGTATCATACAATAATATTTATACATTTATCAACTGTACAACATTGAGAAGTAGTTAGTGAAAGGCATAATCATTTGAAGTTTTATTTATTTGAACATATAAACATTGGTACAAGGAGGCACCGAATACATATGCACCGCACAAGTCACTTGATTTGTGTATGGGCTGTGATACTACACGAGTGCCCAAACAGAAGCAAATGGTTTACTTAGAGGGCCACACCCGGAGCCTTTTACCTAAAGGTATAATATACAATGCAGTGGAACAACGTCAGAAGATGCAGTCTCATGGTAGTCAGTGAGTAATAATTTGTTCCCTCAGGATCCTGGAGTCTATATGCACCATTGGTTTGGAATCAAAGTTTTCCAACTCCCCTAAGTGGACTCTATTTAGGATGGATGAACCAATCAGATTTATGACAACAGGTCTTGAATTTTGCAGCGAAATTAATTAATTCATTTGGCCAAACAATGTTTTGACATTATATTTGATGTTAGTTCGTGATGAAAACCCTAAATCTAATTCTTAACCCTAACCATCAACTAACCCTCATTTAGTCCTAGTCAGTAGGTGTCCATTCTCAAGGTCACTTCCGCGTCGCTCAAAGGTCGTCTGTAAATTATAGTCTCACCAAAAAAAATCCAGTAGGTGAACTACCTTATGGACTTGTAAGCATTCTGCATTTTCTTTATTTCCTAACAACATTGCACCATCACTATCAGTACAGCTACCAGTTATCTCCATTTTACTAGATATCTCCATTGAACCATTTAGATCATGTACGGAACTGACTGTTTTCCATGCCTCTTCATCATCTAATAATTGTTGAGAGATTTGTTCAGACTGAACAAATGATGATGTTTCATTTAAGCAAGATTGTTGTTGATGTTTCTCCTGTTCAATGCTGAATTCCTTTTTAATTGATTCAACTTTATCACCTACAGAACATGATTCAATGAGTGATGAATCAATAATACCCTGTGGTTTATTTACTAATGAAGTATCTTTCAATGCTAACTGTGATGAACCAGATGATATAAGACGTGAATAAACAGATCTTGCAGCTTTTGATAAAAATCCAGATATACCACCAGTGTCTTTAGTATATGGTGTAGTATTCATATCTGTATTATGATTGACAATACATTGATCAGATGTATTGCATGGGAGAACATCTAAGACATTCATTTGTTGAAATTCTTCCGGTATACATATTGACTTATTGAAAAGAAATGGTGTTGATGTCAAATTTGATGTTTTTGGTGTAACAACTAATTTCTTATTGTTTAATAGATTTTCAGATTTTCTTATATCAAATGTTAAAGATGGAGTAACAGATTTAGAAGATTGAATTTCTGGTGTTTTATCTGAAATAAATTTAAAAAAATGAATAATTGATAAATATTACTAAATAGTAGTATGTTTATTGATTTGAGATTCTGTTAAAATGAAACTCATAACTGACTGTATGAAACATTAAAAGTTATATTCTGGAAATATAAAAATATCGTACGGAATTCCTATGATGGATTAAACTACAAAATCGTGCATGAAGGACAGCTCACAGATTTCTTCGAAGAAAAGACCGGTGTCAGGCAACGTTGCTTACTCTCAAGCTTCCTCTATCTCCTGGAGATCGACTGGATTATGTAGACGTCAACACCTGGGAGGGAGCATGGGATATAGTGGACAGCTAGGATACAATTGAACGATCTAGACTTTTGCCGCACATTCAACAACAAATGCAAGAGAAGATGATCAGTAGTAGGTGTCGGCAGACACAAAGGGAAATGCAAGATTCTCCGAAACAACACAGCATGCAACAATCGAATCACACTTGACAGAGAAGCTTTGGAAGATATATAAACCTTTACATATCTGGATAGCATCATTGATGAACACGGTGGATCTGATGCAGATGTGAAGCTATCATCCAGAAGATACAAGTGTTTATTAACAGTTGTCTATGCAAAATACATCGGGTCCGTTGGCCAGACACTATCAACAACAACCTACTGTAGAAGAAAACAATAGTTACTGCTTAGGTTTTAGTGTACTATCTCTACAAATCATGAGTTCTTTAAAAAAATAAATCAATTGCATTTCTTTTGAATGTTTTCATTTTCTGGGAGAGAACAAACCAGATTCTAGCGGGGGAAGAAATCAGGAAGAAACGCTGGAAGTGAATAGGACACACACTGAGGAAAGCATTCAACTGCGTCACAAGACAAGCCTTCACATGAAATCCTCAAGGCCAAAGGAAAAGAGGAAGACCAAAGAGCATATTACGCCGGGAAATGGAAATAGTCATGAGAAAGATGAACAAAAACTGGATAGAACTGGAAAGGAGGGTCCAGGACAGAATGGGTTGGAGAATGCTGGGAGTAACAGGCGCAAGTAAACAAGCACTTTATCATCATAGGGATGTAATTACATGTAGAAAATAGTAATTTAATAAATCAGGTAGATAGACTTATTACTTTATCCCGACCGTTGTTGCTACCTTGACGTGGTGGTAGGGCTTGCCTATCTTTCTTTTATATATTACCACCCCAGAATTATTTACTTTTATGAATCCGGTGTTCATCTTGTTGTGTTAATGAGGTATGGCAACTTGAACCGATGCATATATGTGCCTGGTCCTATGTTGTAGCTGACTGACTGACTGACTGACTTATTACTTTACAATAAATCATACCATTATCAAAATGCATTTTGGTTTTGTTCTTTCTATGTTTAATAGAAATTCCATAGATACATAATTATAGAAAGTTTTTTATTCTTTTTTGTTTCTAATGACCGTCTATATGACCCGATAATTTTTTGTTTTACAACCAGAAACATAACTCTTCTAATTGAACAACAACAACAACAACAAACACACAGCTATTTATTGTAAACAATGATGTTTTGTTAAAAATAAGTTACATAGAAAAATGTTAGAACGACATTTTATTTAATTAAGTCAAACCAATATAAACCATATGGTAGATGTACAGTTTATTTGTAATAATAATAACAAAAAATAAACAACTTATTGCTGTAATTAAGTGAAGATAATTATGACCTAAACTCATTATTTCAGTAGTTGAGATCATGAGTCAATTGAAACTAGACCACCTTGGAAAACGTGGAAACAATGGACGGCCGTCTCGTCCTATTGTGGAACTCTTCAGTAGGGCAAATCCACGATCCCGCCTCACGAGATTCGAACCCAAGACCTCTCACTTTCGCGCGCAAGCGCTTAACCACTGAGCTGGCCGGCATCTAACGGTGTTAATATCTAACTACAACTAATCCATGAAATTGAGCGACATATCCACCATCGTCTTCAGTGAGTTACTATCTCACAACAGACCCAGTGCTTCCACGTTTTTCACAGTGTTCTAGCTTTAATTGACACATGATCTCAACTATTAAAATTACTATAATATACACAAAAGCGCTTCTGATATTAAACTGTTTATATTGAGAAAATAAATGAAGTTATGAGGTTCATAGCATAACAATCAAGTTGTGTAATAAACATTCGAGGCTTTCTGAAAGATCATAAGATAATGAGTTTCGTAAATGATAAGGTCGTAAATGTTTACAAACAACCACTTTCAGGGAAGTCCTACCCACTGCCTTCTCGCAGCGAAGGTATTGTTTACGGAATTGAGAAGACGAAAAGCGAATGTCCGGCGCTTCAACCGTATTGGTGGAAACGAAGAGTCGCTAAGATTATTATTTACAGACGACCAGTGAGCGACACGGAAGTGACCTCGAGAATCGACACCTACTGACTAGGACTAAATGAGGGTTATTAAGCAACCAGAATTCTCATATACAGTCAGTAACAATGTAGAACTTCGTACGTATGTGCATCAGTTCGAGTTGCCACACCACATTAGCATAGAGATGCAGTTGTCGACTCAAATCCCGTATTGGTAGAAGTAGTACAAGTAAAAGAAGTAATCGGAAATATTAGGGCTTAATGTTATCCAAGTACCCTAATCCAGTGAAATAAATTTGGAAAGAAAATAAAGGACATTAGGAATTCAGAAGATTAGAATTTGGGAAAACACAAAGAGTGGATGCACCTGCACAATTGCAAACGATTTTGAGTCATGTCATTCAGGGTCTATAACCATCGGTTGCTATCATCTCGCGGTCCCCAACCACGTAGATTACACCTATCAACATGGCTCAGCCCACTTGTCAGTGACTTTATGAACTTGTGCCGTGTTTTGGTTTGGCCGCCCCTATCTTTCTTCCAACCTAATCCTGTACCACTGAACATCGCACATCGAGGCAGTCGGTGGATGGGCATACGTAACACGTGTCCCAGCCATCTCAACTGATGAAGTTTCACCAATTCATCAATTGGTTTGCCATCCTTACCTAGTACCCGTTTCCTAACAACTGTGTTACTTACTCGATGGTCCCAGGATATACGAGCAATGATCAAATACTAGCAACCTACGAATATCCTCTACGCCTACCAACCATGTTCCACTCCCATAAAGTAGGACGAAATGAACTGTTGCACAGTAAACACGTCATTTGCTTGGTAGACGGATATCTCGTCTACGCCATAAATGACGCAAGTTAGCAAAACCTAGTCGAGTCTTCTGTATCCGTGCTGAGATTTCGTCACACACCAGAAAACAAGGGCTGATCAGACTTCCAAGATAAGTGAAGCGATCGACACGCTCAATTACTTCACTCCCAATCATTAGTTCGGGTGTCGATGAAACCAAATCCTGAAACAATATTTTGCATTTCGAGGGCGAGAATCGCATCCCGAACATCCTTGAATTGTTGCTTAGAGTGGTCAGAAGACGCTGCATTTTCTTCACCGAATAGAATTATGTCATCGGCATATTCTAGGTCAAAAAGTGAATCTCCTGGTAGAGTTTCAACCCCTGCAAATTTAGATGAGGAAAGAGTCATCTCTAAAGCACGTCAACGACAAACTTAAACAAGAATGGAGAAAGTGGACAGTCCCGACGAATACAACTTGAAGTAATCAATTCTGATGACAGTTCGCCATAAACTCTCACTCGGTCAGTTGTGTTCGAGTAGAGAGTCTTTATAAGGTACTCCTTTCAATGACAAACACTGCCATAGAACCTCACGATCAACAGAGTCGAATGCCGCCTCAAGGTCGAGAAATACTACCATTGTGGAGCGTCTGAATGTGTGTCTATGTTTGGGGTATGGCCCCTTAAGAAAACCACCTACTTCGGTTTGGGCAACCGGGCAGTATTACAGCCCTCACACCAATCGAATGATTTATGTGGCGCATATCTATTTGGTGCCTTCTTGTACCAATGTTTATGTGTTTAAATAAATAAATAAAAACTAATGTTCACCTCTATGTTGTCAAATATCATGACAAAATATCTGTTCAGTGCTTTCAACTCTCCAATACTTATTAAAATGATGTTACTAAGTGATAAAACTATAATGATTGAAATCTAGCAGTTATGTATTATAAGGGGTTTTGTGGAGATTGTAGTAATTTCAACAATTGAGATCATGAGTGAATTGAAACTAGACCATCATGGAAAACCTGGAAGCACTGGACGGCCGTTTCGTCCTATTGTGAGACCATTATGTGTACCATTATGTACTACATTATTATAACACATATAAAGACAGATAATAAACACAAATGTATGATTAAAGATAAATTCAAAATCAAACTTACATTCATTCATAGCCAAATTACAATCTCGAACAATTTGTGTTACAATTGTTGATTTATCATTTTCTTGCATCGTATCATCTTTCATTTCAACACGATCTAACATATTGACAAGAAGATCTAGCTCTGAATGGTTTGTTGTTTTATGAATAGAATTCTCTTTATTCTTCCTTGTAGTAGATTCATATTCTTCCTTATTATTATGATTAGAAAAATCCTCGCACAAATTATTATCACTGTTATCATGATTGTATTCGAGTTGACCTTGTTGTATTATACTGATTTCGTGCAATTTATTGTCATTGGGTATTGAAAAAGATGACCATTCCGGTGAACTGTTTCCTCCTCCATCATCATCATCACCACCCCCTCCACCTAAAGCTTGATTTAGGACACTACGATGTCTCCATGGTGAATAGAAAGTGGTAGTGTTTGCAATTGCTGTGATAGCTACGCCAGTTGTAGAAGATTTGTTCGTAAGTATAGAAGAAGATGAACTGGGTAATTCAACAACTGTAGAACAAGTTGTTTTAACAGGAACTGTAGTTGTAATACATTGAATTACATCATCACAAGGTGAATTAAACTTATCAATATTAACATAAGGTGAGAGAGATGCCACGGTTGGTTCAGTTGTCGGTATTGACGATGACATTGTTGTTGTTATCACTGAAGGTGACGCTGTAGCGATGTTAATCAATTCTTCATTACCAATAGGACTTATTAAATGACCTGTACGATTATAATATGATGCATTGATTGTACTATTATTATTAGACGATTCAGGAGTTGTCGTGCTAAGAAATGGAAAAGGAAATTCAGCTGACAAAATAAAATTCATCTGAACACGTAGTGAAAATCACATTAACATTAAAATGTTATTATTATAAAATAACGTGGTGGACTTAAACTCAAGTGTTAATTGATACAGAACAGTAGTTTAAAGGTTACAGTACTTCACTTTCAGACGACGGACTCACAGATTCCAACTGTAAATCTCAACTACTTAGTTCTAGGCAGTTGAGGGACAGTATTAGAAATTCCCTAACTGCATATAACTCCCCCCCCCGGAGCTGAGGAGACAATTTTGTGCTTCATGGAAGAGTTACATCATATGATGACTTCATAGGACCAAAGTTTAACGATTTTCTACACCATTATGAGAGCAAGTAAGAGAATGATGAATAGTAAACGAATTGTTAAGACGAATACTAGTAACAACTCAAAAGAAAATCCACACGAATATTCAAAAGATTTGGTTGTAGTAATGGAGAAGAATAATTACGGAATTTAGTGTTTTAGAAGTTACACTATTTTTTTCAGTGAATAAATTGAAGTTTTACATCCTGTATCACCTAGTACGACAGTCAGACAATCGAATTTGCTCTCCATATATGAATGTGGCTAAAAGCTCAGTAGATGGATTTGCATATATATAAGTCGTAGTTTAAAGTTCTGAATAAAACTTACATTAGCTGTTCAGAAAGTTGATCGATTGATTTACAAAGCTGTGGGGAAGCGTTATCTATACATTATAAATAAAGATGGAAGAGTAGAATTGATTAAAACCGAGAGAGAGAGAGAGAGACATACAACATAGATATTATTGGTGACTATGGTGATAAATAATAAATACAACTTTATATCAATGTTTTATTACATTAATTGCTAATATGTTGCCTAAACCACTCGCCATATAGTGGTATCTTTTATTTAGTTGTACAAGGTGATTTAAACATGCTAGCCATTTATTATTTCTTCTTCTTGTAAATTTGTACAATTTACTTTATTCAGTAGTATTCATTTTTATTCAATTTTAAAGGCTTGAATCTTTCCATTGTTAATGTAAAGCACTGCAATTGATCAGTCTATTCTGGCATATAAGCATCCTATGGGAACTGACTCGATAATATCATTAGTCATAAGGCTTTTTAAGCAGAGGTGGATAGAAGCTAAGGACCGAATCCAGAAGAGGCGTTTCATAATACTTTGGATTTATAGACAGGATATACTTGCATTACAGTGTTGTTGTTCTCTTTGGAACTAGAACCTACTGCACTTCGGTTCAAATACCAAAGCATCATCAAGATAGCTATTGAGTCCAGGTAGACACTGGTTTATACAATTGGAATCAGTTATAATTTAGATGTAAAGGTTTTATCATGTTCACTTGTATTTCTCTTGTTTTGTTAATCACATTTTATAACCGCTTTCTGAAATGATTCTGAAAAAATATTACTTTGTTGTTTTGGAACAATTACTTGACTTCGTATAGTTGATGAGTAAACATGTATTTGTGTATCCGCTCATTATTGAATACCAGACTTTGTTAAGAAACTATATATTTTACAAACTTATCTTGATCGTATAAAAGCATTTATTGCTGACTGAGCTTAGAACAACATCCAGAAATTAGGCGACATTATAATTTATGGACAACCCTTGAGTGACCTCCGAGTGACCTTGAGAAAACGCATCAACCGACTAGGGACTAAAGAAAGTTATAAATTAGTATGAGTTGGAAGTCAGGGTTAAGAATTAGAGATAGGGTCTTCGTCACAAACTGGCATCAGCTATAATACTAAAATACTATTTAGCCATGTGAATGAGTTTTGCTCAAAAATCCAAGCCTTGATATCTTAAATCTAATTGGCTCATCCACAAATAATAGTCTTGTATGAATGCTATGTCACATATTTCCCGATTGAGAAAATATCGAAATAAGGTTTACCTTATTAAATTTATTTTTACTGGATAACCTTTCTTGGAGGCCAGTTACACAAATGCTTTTAGTATGTAGATCCTGATGTGCTATCGTTTTACTTCAAAAGGTCTTAAGATTGACGGCGAAAATCTGAGAAGTAAGATAAAATGATCTATATTTAGGACCAGGATTTCTCAACTTCCTTCCCTATGTTTTAAAAATTCAACATCATTGCACATGTTGGTTGCCTGAAGGAAACAATATACTGCCGTCATACCCTAGAACAGACAGCAGTACTACTTGGGTTTTAGTTTGCTGCTTTTAGTCTCACTGTTCTTAAATCGAGCTGTAATGTGTTTAATCTAATGTAGCTCGGTTTAACATTACAACAGGCAAACCCGAATAGAACGTGTTAGCGCGACATAGACCGGATTAAAGCATGCTCAATTCACGATTGCTTTGGTGCACGCTGATTGGATAATTCTTATCCAATCAGCACTAGTCGATAGTTGGAGGATACTCTAGAATCTTCTCATGTAAAAAACTATAAATATACTGACGTTTTCTCTATTGTGCTTCTGACTCGCTTCTTACTTCCATCTAACCTTGCTATTTGGAATATAATCTCTTTCCTATTCAACCGTGTTTTGATTCGGGGACTTGTCGAGTGAATCGGTGTCCGAGAATACTAAGCAATAGGAATAGCTGGGTTATAACCGTAAGAAAGAGAGATTTATAACAAAACGTAAACGTAACAGAGATAATTAGGCGCAACAGAATGAAAACACTCTAACATAATTTCTTGTTAAAAATGTACTCAAGGAAAGCGATAAACTAAGTTCACATTGACTTACTTTCTGAGACGTTCATTAACGGATCGAAATTTAACATGATTGAATTATTAAGATTTGAAGAAGTTATTCGAGTCTGAAATGATTAAAAAAACACGCTTTTAAATAATTCAAAATGATAAAAGAACAAAACGTGAGTGTAAGGTAGAAAATGTAGTTGTAAAGTATACTTAAAATTACTCGGTAAATTAAAAGTAACCAGGCTCTTGTACATATGAGACCAAGCGATTGAACGTGAGGACAAGCTTTGACTGTTATTAAACGGTTTGAGAATAATAGGTTTAAAGCTAGTTGGTTAGTGTATATATCACCAAAGCATAGCTATAATATTGAGTAAACTGATGCTTTGAGAACAATTTGAATCTGCATTACTTATTACTTTATTTAGGTGTGAACCACTTAGAGGTGACGTGAAGGAATGAAAGCTCTCGCATGAATTTATATACACACTGCTGTTATACGAATACTTGACTGTTATAATACACTAGCTAAAGTTAAGAAAGTCAACCATGATATATCATGCTTTTCTCCGGATCTCATAATCCAAATTTCATAAAAGTGTGTAGTTCTTAGGCTTCAACATCCGATAATCTTTAGTGATATGATATCACTAAAGGTAGTCAGAAGAAAACTCTGAACCGAGATTTAGTGCTAAATGGTATTTATCAGTAAAGCATATCCAACCGTTTTTGCTACCTTGACGTAGTGGTTGGCCGTGCCTATCATGATGAACCAATCGAGATATACTGGCGGGAACAATCGTTCCTCAAGGTCCTACCAGGCCAGATAGGTCATTTGAAGAGCGATAAGACTAAAAGCAGTAAACCTAAGGTCTAAGGGCGAAGTCGTACTGCTGACTGTACAGAGGTGTGACGGCAGTAGGGTTTTTCCTTCAGACAACCAGCATAACAGCGATGCTGCCTTCCCATAACGAAGTGTGGTGTTAGAAAAGATCGACTCATGTATATCCGTCTCCGGTGGTAAAGCCTCAACAAGTGCGGAGCTAACATGAAAATTACCCCCAAAAATGCCATGTATGACCGACCTCAAGCAGTTGTCCTTTGCGCACTGCGGTCACGCTCTCAGGTCACTAAGACCACTTTTAATCCAATTTCCTTTTCAGGGACCTCCAAAAGAACCTTTCCATCGTATGGGCAACCAGGAAGTGATAACCGCTCTCATACCTTTAACAGCATACTTGAAAGCTTAAGGGAACTAAACTAATTGATCCTCCTTATAGGATTTCAACTGTTTTATTGTAAATGATTACCTGGTTAATATTAGTCTATGATATAAACTAACTTTAGAATGTAATATTTTGTTTAAATTTTATTAAAATTAAAAAGTTTAATAAACCTTTAATTATTTCATGCATAAAATTCAATTAACAACAAAAGAAGATATGACAACATGGTTTCAGTGCAATCAAATATTTATGATGTGTATATACTACTTAATAAAACTTTAGAGACGAAATCATTAGAATGAATGTTAAATGCATCGATTACATAAGAAAAGATGATTAAGCAATAAATGAAATATTAAAATGTTCACTTCAGTATTATATGCTTTAGAATAAGTAGTAATTAGTCTAGAAATGAGGTAGTTACAAAATGTAAGGAAAAATTCTGTTATATTTGAAGAGAATACGAGGTCACCTAAATCTGTGAATGGAACGAAGACTTAGTGATACAATGATTAAATAACTTAACTACTTCCATGCGTTCCATCCCCGCTAATGAGAAAGAGAAGATCGAGTTCTGAAGAGGGAAAATGTATTCCATAAACACAACCCAAACGTATATATATATATATATATATATAGCATAAAAATGTCCTTGGGAAACGTTACAAAATAGTATATTACTAGCGACAAGGAACTAATAATATTTCAGGTCCTTCTCACTGGGAAATATGATATGAAAGTGAAATCTCAAAATAAAATTACAAAAATAAGATATCAAGTGAGTTCTAAGGATCTAACATATCCAACAAATTCTGTTCCAAAAAAATTAAAAGATCACATCAGTCAGTCAGTCAGTAACAACGTAGAACTTCGTAGTAACGTACATCAGTTCGAGTTGCCATACCAAATGAGAACAGAGATACAATTGTCGATTGAAATCCCATAGTGGTAGAGGTAGTAAGAGTATAGACAGTCATCAGAAAGATTAGGGTTTGAAGATGTTATGCAAAAACTTTAATCCAGTGAAATAAATTTGGAAGTAGAAGGAAAGGGACATGAAGAATTTAGAAGATTAGAGTTTGGGAAAACACAAAGTGAATGCTGGATATACGAGCAATGTTTCGAAGACATCTATGATCAAATACTAGCAACCTACGAATATCCTCTACTCTTACCGGTCATGTTTCACTACCATAAAGTAGGACGAAATGAACTGTTGCACAGTAAACACGTCATTTGCTTGGTAGACGGATATCTCGTCTACGCCATAAATGACGCAACGCGGCAAAACCTAGTCGAGCCTTCTGTATTCGTGCTGAGATTTCGTCACACACCAGAAAACAAGGGCTGATCAGACTTCCAAGATAAGTGAAGCGATCGACACGCTCAATTACTTCACTCCCAATCATTAGTTCGGGTGTCGATGAAACCAAATCCTGAAACAATATTTTGCATTTCGAGGGCGAGAATCGCATCCCGAACATCCTTGAATTGTTGCTTAGAGTGGTCAGAAGACGCTGCATTTTCTTCACCGAATAGAATTATGTCATCGGCATATTCTAGGTCAAAAAGTGAATCTCCTGGTAGAGTTTCAACCCCTGCAAATTTAGATGAGGAAAGAGTCATCTCTAAAGCACGTCAAAGACAAACTTAAACAAGAATGGAGAGAGTGGGCAGCCCTGACGAACACCACTTGAGGTAATCAATTCTGATGACAGTTCGCCATAAACTCTCACTCGGTCAGTTGTGTTCGAGTAGAGCGTCTTTATAAGGTTAATGTACTTCTTTGGTACTCCTTTCAGTGACAAACACTGCCATAGAACCTCACGATCAATAGAGTCGAATGCCGCCTTAAGGTCGAGAAATACCACTATTGTGGGGCGTCCGAATATGTGTCTGTGTTCTAGAACCTGACGTAGTGTGAATATCTGGATTTCATATGTCTATTTACAAAAATATCTGTAATTCGAAGTAGTAAAATTTGATAATCATAGGATCAGCGAAGCGAGAATCCACTGCATCAATGTTGATTTAAACAATCAGATTGGTATATTACGAAATAAAACATATAAATTAACTTTGAAATTTCTGATCTATGGAAAGATAAAAAGAGAATATGATCTGTGCTACTATGACAGTTTACGAGTCATGTCACTTAATGTTTTCAATTGCTTTTCACGTTATTCGTGCAAGTCAGCATGAATATGATAATTAATCAATAACTTTGCAGATTATCATTAGATTTTGGTTCGAGTGCTCTTAACATTCTTTCACCGTACTTTCATCTATCAGCGAGGTAGGCAGTAGTTGGGATACGTAACACATATCTCGAATACCTTCATCAATGAAGATTTAAAAATTGATTAACACATTGTTCAGCTATACCTAATAGCATCCGTCAGTTTCATGTTACGCACGTAACATGTGGTACTTATGTTCGCAGATATAAGTAATGTGTAGCACCGGTCAGAAGTGGAATGTCTGTAAGCAGAATTTTGAAAAGATATAAATGGAGAGAAGAGAGAAGGAAACTGGAAACAATCAAGATAACAATAAAAATGAAGGAACAATCAAGTTTGTGAAAAAAATTTTCAAAGAAGATGTGCAAATAATGTATTTGATGTATGATTTCTCGTTCAGTACACTACCATCAATACTTTTCAACGTAAACATGGTAAATTCACTTGGTATTGTTCGGCTTGTATCTTCCCATTGAGGTTTAACATTGTAATTGATCAGTCTGGTGTTGCCATATGTGCATACTGTGCGTATGCCTCGATATTGCCTTAATTCATAAGCTTTTTGTAAGCAGTGGTGGATAATAGCTAGCAGTAGAATCCAGGACGTGCGTTGCGTCCTATTTGTGACTCGTTAGCTGGATGTACCTGCATCTCAGCTGAGTGGATAACGCGATGGCGTTTGAAGCGAATGGTACTGGGTTCGACTCCCAGAGTGAATATCAACTTGCAGGCACATCCAGCTGACGAGTCCCAAATAGGACGAAACGCGCGTCCTAGATTCCACTGCTAGCCACTACCCATCGTTGCTTATAAATATAGTAATACTACATTTTATGAAATATAAACGTAGAAACATTAAGTATGATGTACAATATGAGGTTATGAAAACAAAACTGATGAATTAAAGGTTTGTTTCAGTGAGCAATCAATTTGAAGATCAACTTACAAAATTCAAAATTGATTGTTTAAATCTACTAGAAACAAATATAAAGTTTATATTAAAATATGATATAACAAAACAATTAACATGTATATTTATTCATGTAGTTTAGTAGAAAGGTTTATATAACTTATCTACTGATTTATATCAACTTGAAATATAATACAGTTATTTTATGCCATTTTGTATCCCTTAAATGCAATACTATAGCCAAGCGTGAAGATAGTCAACTCTTTTTCTCTAAATACTCTCAAACAACCACTGCCAGGAAAGTTCTACTCACTGCCTTCTCGTACTACGGGTGTTGTTTACGAAATTTACAGGATGAAAAGTGAATGTCCGACGATTAACATGAGTTGGTGGATATAGAGGATCCACATAGGAGAGTTGGATAACCTTGATTCTAAACCAATGGCACACATGAGTTCCAGGATCCTGAGGGAACAAATGGCGTATATTCACCAGCTACCATGAAAGTGCATCTCCTAACGTTCCTCTACTACCTTGTAAGTTAGATCTCTAAATCGAAGGCTTGTGAATTGGTCCTTTAAGAATACAATAGCACCTGTTTTGGTAGTGCCTAGTAGCTACATACGCGTGGCAATGTGAGAGCATTTTGAGAGGGAGAACATTTTTCCCTACCCTCGACTAGACCAGGGCATTTGGGAGCCAAAACTTATTAGCATGAAAGAGAAATGAGTAAGTGAAGTATACAGATATATATGTATCGTCGTTTACATATTCATAAGAAATCCTTAAGATTACACATAGTCGGTAAGGTTAAAAATTTAGGTTACAAAATAACCGGAAAGATTATAATAACTTGTATGTTTTGAAGTTGAAATAAATTACGTAGACGTAATAATGGCGAAGATGACTTAAAAGTATAGTAGGTATGGTAAACGGACGAGTCTAGAACAACACCCACAAATATTTAGGAAATCAGAAAAGTTTTGATAAAAGGATAGTTTCCGGAGGAAACAATTGTAAAATGTGGACGGATTTTACATGACCATTATAAGTCTACCAATGTTTCCTCTACAGGTTATTCTATCTGTAAATCAAAAAAATGGCAATATAAACTTGTCTTAATGTATATTGATTGTCCATATTCTTGAACCCTTAAAAGGAATCAAACGGTATCTTAATAGTCGTCACACTGTTTCCCATTAGATTTAGGTATTTACAGTTAGGATTAGGGGCTATTGCGTAAAAATGCTCTTTACTCATATGGATGAGTGAATTTTTGCTTAGAAATCTAAGAGGCACCATATAAGTACTTCGTTCGTAAAATGTAGTGCAACAAGTTGGTATGTGTGTGTTTAAGAATTAATAAATTTTGTTTAGGATTTAGTGATAATGTCAACCTAAAAAGCCTATCACACATCTTTATGATTTCCACAGTTGATGTCAGTTGTTGTCTTGTTATCAATTTTATAACTATCATAAATAATACACCATTTCCTAGATCCCTCGTTATTTTGGTCCATCAGAGCTACACGATGAAAACGTCGTGTATTAAAGAACGTAAGAAGTTTATCTCAAGTCAAGTCAGTTACTATTCAACTTTCCAAACTAAAATAAACTAAATCAGGTTAAGAACCAATGGGTTTTTCTTAACAATTAAATCATCCCATCCCAATAGTTATGGAACGATTTATCAAGTTCATTAACTATAAGCGGGTTACATTATCAATATCAGGATAATAAATTATATTGATCTAGTGAATCAAACACATAACAGCCAAATGATAAACGGAAATGATTAGTCGATATTTAGTTGGTTTTTTTTTCTAAATAATGAGATACACAAAGCATTGATGGGAAGATTTGGCCTAAATTTCTAAGGGATATATATATATATATATATATATATATATATATATATATATATATATATATATATATATATATATATAGTCATTTATCGATTCGGTTGACCGGTTCTACTGCAAAGAGTAAGCCTGTTTACCAGTATCAGAATTGAGAACCCCACTACACAACAGAAATGCGAACTTCGTTTAAGACATAAAAATACAATAACCTTTTCAAAAGTTTTTTTCTTTTCTTTTCGACTTATCTAGAACCATTATGGCCTTAAGCAGTAAAGAGATTATGTTTTTTGTTTATATCGAAGAAATGTATGGAGAGAGAGAAGGATAAATAATCAAATGGAAAAGTGAAGAAAGCAAATTAAAAATTAGTCATATATAATAATTTCAACTCACCTTTTTATTGGTGATTTGTTGTTCTAATAATCCTAGGAATTCATAATCATCCCTAGGAAATACATCGTTTGCCTTAGTTACTTCGTTCTTTTCATGAAGAACATATTCATCTGAAATTATATATATATGTATATATACATACGAAGATATACTGAATTATCAGAAGGAGTTTTGTAGAGATTTTAGAAATTTCACTGTTTGAACTCATGAGTCAATTGAAGCTAGACCATCATGGAAAACCTGGAAGCATTGGACGGCCCTTTTTGTCCTAGTATAGGACACTTCAGCAGTGCGCATCCACGATCCTGCACCCAGAACCTATCAGTCTCGCGCCAGGCGCTTTATCAACTAGACCACTGAGCCGGCATCCAACAGTGTTAATGTCTAACTTCAACTAACCCACGAATTTGCGCCACTGTACACCAATGTCTTCAGTGAGTTGATTTCTCACAACAGACCTAGTTTAACTCTACTGGTAACGGCTTACACGTTTTCCATATTGGTCTAGCTTCAATTGACTCATGATTTCAATCCGTGAAATATATATTGGATTGTTTCGTTTGAAAACCGAACATTACTAATAGTTCATAGAGATAAGTTGTTCGGATTGGTTTTTTCTATTGTAATAGAAATTACATAGTAACATGATTTAATTAAAATCGGGAGATAAAAACACCATTGAATTTCGAATAAGCGACCTACAAAAGACATCATGCTCACTACAAGACCTGAAGATGTTAGATAGTTGGAGGTAGTTAGCAGAGAATCCTAGATCTAGGTTATATGTTAGTTGATAAACGTCAGCAAGACATACCCACAGTCTAGAAGAGATTATATTCTGTATGACTAGAACTTAAGTAACTCAGTTTCACAGCCTGGTACGTTATGTATTTGTAAAGTGAAGCATATCTTCGAATGTTATCAATCACCAATCCTTACCAATACTTGTAGCAAACTGTGTATTAGATAAAAAAAGTAAACATTATTTAATAAACACTTACTATTTTCAACAGTATTATCAATAGTTAATGAATGAGAAATTTCTTCTGATTGAACAAAATCATTCATACTATGTAAACAAGGGAGAGAAAAAATGAGGAAGAACAAAATAAAAGGAACTATTGACAAGTACATAGATAGGATGATAGAGACTAAACTTAATGAGTAGTTAGTTTATTAATTATATTCATGGACAAACAGATATATGTCATCAGCATGAAGCCTAACACAGATGATCTAAGTTCTTATGCTTGATTAGTACGACAACATAAGAATAACAAAAACGATCCAACTTCTGTAGTAGTAATAATGACAATAAAGAATAAACATGGTTTGAAAAGACAAGATGGAAAGACATGCATGAAAAGATACTGGAATTTAAGATCAAAAGGACGAAACACGCGTCCCGGATTCCACTGTTAGCCACCATCCACCTGTGGTTATAATATTTGTGACTTAAGGTAGTATATCGTGACAATTCGTCAATCGAACAGCACTAAACCCTATATATATATAGAACTTATTACGATTGATTCCAACTACTTGGTACCAATCAACCAAACATGACATTGATCCAAACTGATGTGACTGGGTAATGAAAACTTAATTTCTTGATAAAACTTGGAAAAATTTAATCCTATCGTCCATCTATTATTATTGAACAGAAAATGTTTATTATCAATGATAACTCGAGAAATGAATGCTTGTGCACAAGTTCATTTATAGGCATGAGGTGTTCTGGTTTTAAGGTTTCATTCAAATCACGAACTGACTCTTATGAAACAACCATTGAAAAAAACAATAAGTATTAGACGACAATGACTGTCCCATTATACGATGATGTGATGCTTAATATAAACGTCCCTAGATTTTCAGATGTCAAGGCAAGTGTTTTAATCATCTAGATCATTGAGTTGACGTGTAAACTAATCCATATTTACAAATCTCAATTGCTATTTAGTTAGATTTAGTGTATAAAACATTTAATATATAATAAATTTAGAAACATGCCATGAAACAACTGCAAACAATGGAATAAGTAACCAATTAATTCCAAGTAGAACATCCTTCACCACACGGTTTGCCCATAGTTAGACAACTAATAAAAGCCAGGAACCCCATACTAGGACGAAATATCGATTCAGTACGTCCTGGTTTCCATTGGCTGTCTTAGGTCCGTTTACGATGTTAACTATGAAATTCAATGATTTTCACTAGTTCCTTATACTGAATAAGCCTTATCTATCAACAGTACGTAGATCAGTATAACCATCTAGGATACAGAAAACATGTACTATAGAATCAGCTAATGCTCTTTTCAAAAAGACCAGTATTTACGGATTTATTTGACAACTGCACCTCGTTTAGCGTAGATAGTATGTTTCGATAGATTGAGAAAAATTAAACAATCAAATCATTAATGTAGTCTGAATTTGATTGGTACGAATATAAGAAGCTATTTATGAGCAAAAGGTGGATAGAAGCAAGCAGTGGAATCCAGGACATGCGTTTCGTCTTATTTGCGACTTGTCAGCTGGGCGTACCAGCGTCTGAGTTGGTGTTCACTCTGAAACTTGAACCCAGTACCATTCGCTTCAAATGCTCTCGCGTTATCCCATTAGCTACTGGGTCCTTATAGCCACTTGCTTGTGCAATCGCGTGAACTTTGAATTCACTTGGTATTCATTACTAGAATCTGCTTGCCACTATCCATCTTTGCTTCTATAATTGATGTTCACTCCAGGACTCAAATCTAGTACCTTTCACTTCAAATGCCAAAACGTAATCCACTTAGTGAATCAAGATATCTCCCAAATGCCCTGGTACAGTAGAAGGTAAGGAGAGTCAGCCCAGCCTCTCCAAATGCTCTCACATGGCCACGCATATACAACCACTGCCAGGGGAGTCCTACTCATTGCCCACTCGCGGAGAGGGTGTTGTTTACGAAACTCAGAGAACGAAAAGCAAATGTCCGGCGCCTTAACCGATTGGCGGATATAGAGGATCCACTTAGGGGAGTTGGAAAACCCTGATTTCAAACCATTGGCTTACATAGGCTCTAGGATCTTAAGGGAACAAAGACGTATGAACCTATTGTTACTCACCGGATACCATGAGACTGCATCTCTTGACATTGCTTCACTGTATTGTGGATTAGACCTGTAGGTCGACTCAGGATGTGGCACCCTAAGTAAACCACATGCTTCAGTTTGAGCATCCGGGCAATATTATAGCCCTCACACAAATCAATGATAAATGCCATTGGCCTCATTATTACTGTGTGGCGCATATGTATTTGATGCATCCTGTAGCTCTTCTAGAGTTACTGCCGGTCCCAAGCCCGGGTAAAGGAGGAGGGTTGGGCTTGGGGTTAGCGTCCCCATCCCGTAGAAAACTAACTCGCTAAAAAAAACGCTTACCAGAAAAAATAATTCAAACCATCCTTATACTAATGTTCATAAATAAATGAATCAAATCACGTATAATATCATCAATACAAACGGGTCAAGCAACAATTTAACAATATTCATATCTTATAAATAAACTATTTGATTAGTTGAAGACTGACGAAATTGACCTTTTTCACTTTAACTACGTTTCTGTTTTGTCTTAAAAAAAAGTTTAACTGTTATTCAAATCTAATGTGATGGTAAGTTGTTAGTTAGAAGTGTTCATTGTTTTAACTTACTGAATGTATTCATTGTATTAGTTCTAGAAGTTGTGGAAGGTCTTCTATATTTAAGCTATAATTTTCACAACTTTATTTCCATCGGTCATCAACTGTTGAATTTAATTAAGTATTATGTAAGTAAAATGGTCAAGAACAAGTACTACATATGCCAAACTAACGCATATCACAACGAATAATATTTGCTGGTGTATGAGTAATTCTGGGAGAAATCCATAGAAGATGAAACTGAAACCTAGGATCAGTCCATAAATTTGTCAACTGTTCGTATGAGACGTTTCATTAGGTACAGATTACCAACATGGTTAGGGCCAGTGTAATTATTCTAACTAAACATGCGAAACTTTGTTTGATGTGGCTCGGAATCAATCGCAATCACACAGAAGCATTCATACTGCCTTCCCTTAGATCGTGAGCGAGACAATAATCTATGGACGAACCAATCAGATCGAAGTTAAAGTCTTGAATTTTGGCGCGAAATTCATCCATCCAATAGAGTTTTGGTATTATAGCTGACGTCAATTCGTGATGAGAAATCTGAACCTAATTCCTGACCCTAACTATCAACTGTATATCGTGACTTCAACTGGCTTATAACCCTAAGTAGGTGTCCATTCTTAAGGTAACTTTGGCATCGTTCAAATGTCGCCTATAAATAAGTCTCATCAGATCATGCATTACAAAATTATCTGGTACTTCTTATTCTGTGATTTCACGTTTTTTCTCAAATCATGTTATCTATACCACATCTTTTCTATCAACACAGATACTATTACTATTTTTACTGCCCTTGTACCTCGTTATGATTATGTGGTGTGGCAACTTGGAGAGATCAAAATATGTACCAGGATTTACGCTGACTAACTGAATGGAACAAAGACTGTCAAATAACAGTCACTCTTTAGCAAATGTAACTATGTAGGTCTACCGAGAAAATTTATGTTAAACAAAATTCTCAACTCAACTGTTGGAAACCAGGAAACACTTGGTGACTGAGCATGAAACTCTGTAGCAGTGTTTATGTAGGACCACGCCAGAAAAAGTACAGATGACGTTCAAGACTAAGAGCGATTGCGTAATTTCTAGACAGTCGAGTTAGCAAGTAATTGTTTATTCTTCTTCTTCTTCTATGATGTAAACAACAAATTGGATGAGCTTTACAAACTCCCTACAACTGCAAAACAAGTAATTGTCTATTCTATAAACAAGAACAAATACTTTAAATTAATTGTTTATTATACGCTAGTGAGAAGTTCGGAGTAAGAAGGACGGCGGAACCAAAATTTATGAATGAATCAATCAGATTGAAGATAAAAAGTCTTGGATTTGGGCGTAAAGTTCATTTATCCGTTTGGGTAAATAGGATTTTCACACTACAACTGATGTCATTTCGTGATGAAGCCCCTAAATCTAATTCCTAATCCTAATATCATACTGTAAATATTAATTCTAATTCCTTATACTAATTTAAAGACCTCATTTAACCTGAGTAAGTAGGTGGATATTACCAAGGTCCGCCAAGTTCGCTCAAAATTCGTCGAAACACAAGGATATAATCAGATCAATAAACTGATAGTATCACTGTATGAATCATATTTTGCTTTGAATGAAATGGGCGAAGAATAGAAATACTCTACAACAAAGTAGGAGAAAATAGTAATCGCCAATATAACAGTGCTTAATACAGTCAAATAATAAATTAATAACATGATCTATTTCAGTAACCGATATCAGCTAGCTCACGATTTTCAAAGAAACTAATTAAATGCTTAAATCTATGTAGACAGAAATGTGTTTTTGATTGAGATCTTGAACCGACTACCATTGAAAACCTGGAAACGCTAAACGGCTGTTTGGTCCTAATGTAGGACTCCTCGACAGTGCGTATCCACGATCTCACGTGCCGGATTCGAACCCAATAATAAAAACTGTTCAAACAAATGCTTACAATAGTTTTACTTCAGTGCATTCGTTGAATAATTATCGACAAAGATCATATAATGTAATGATCTACCAATTGATCAAACTAATCATATTACATAGGATTTAAAACTTTCTAAACAATAAACTTGTGTAATAGCTAATTTCAGATATGTCCAACTAAATTACAACAGTAGATCTAATTTACAATTGAGGATATTGAATGAAATGGTGAAACATCATTAAGTAGGATTTGTGTAATCATATTAATTCACTGTATCTAGAAATCATAATTTTCTTTGCTTCGTTTGTACTGTTCATTATTTTTATTGTAATTGATATCAATACTTTTCCATTGCTTCTGGGATTATTGTTTTACTGTCGAATGGCTTATGTGGGTATAGTAACTTAGACTGATATATAACTCAGGTTATATGCTAACTATGATTAATACATCGATACAGTATGCAAGATTCTTTAAGCATATCCTGAGGAGCTTGACAGTACTGAAATCCCATAGATTTCAATTTTTATCACCTGATATCAAGACTAAATGTATCAGGATGCCAACCCAATTACCTTACAGCTAAAAGTAGTGAATTTGATCAACACTCTCTTTCTAAATTTTTAATTACCGAATCTTAGTATCTAGCATTTAACGCTAAAGACTGAATATATTTGCAGAATTCCAACAAATAATCAACCAATTTATATACAAATATCAAATCTTCCCAAAGGTTTTATAAATGTTGAATCATCGGTACCATCAAAAAGTTCAAGTGCAGGCAGAATGTTTATGAGAAAGGTCAGAAATCGAATGTCAAGCGCTTAGATCGAAAAATATCTAGACGTATTTAAAAAAAACCGTGAACGTAAACCATAGATCATAGACCCACAGTGTCGCCTTCGCATGAACAAACCAGATGCCTTGAACGAACACAAACTGCAAGGAGTAAGTAGGAAGAGTGATCTAGCAAGAAGATCGACGTACATGTATGAATTCATATTGAACAGACAATGCATTTAGTTAAGATGGTGTATTTCACATAAACCAGTAGCTAATATTGTGTTTAAAACAACTCAGTTGCTCAAAATTGATTACATCTCAATTATGTATGCAGAGTGAATTTCGAATGTTAAACCATTCAGTTTCCGAATTCTAGCCAATACAGCAATCAATCTGTTAATTTATTCCAACCTAGTGCTCTCTCTCAAACACATTTCCGATTAGTTACAGCCGTTTCAACTTCATTAAGGATGGAGGCAAGCCTATTCCCATTCCCCATTCTGCTCCTCTTAGAGGGACAGGTAAATTGAAATGCCCGACACTAATATCTAGCACTGGAAGCGAATCATCGTACCGTATCTCTCTGAAGGAACCTAACTGACAGCTGCTTTGTACAAAGTTCCCAGATCATTTTGAATAGTTTTTCACTGTTACTCAATGCCTCCATCATTTCTACTACTCTTGCGTTCGCCGCCCACCATTGACCGCAATCATTGTTTGAGCTTTTGTCAACCTACACTTAAACTACCTTCGTTCCTCTTCCTGTTCCGAAGCTGACGGGATGATTTCTCGAGCACCTGATAATCTTCTTAACTCTCTGCTTCCAGGCACTTCACTTTTGATCGGTGATACATACCACTTATATCTGTCGACATCAGCAGGACACACAACATTCGCGGTAGACTAAATATTTTCTTAGTTACTCTTGAAATATACTTTTCACTTTTTCATTGTTAAGTCTCCAGAAACACGGAGGGCAAGTTTTATCGTTTCTCTGGATTGGGTAGGTAAGACTTAGTGAACCACCACCTTTCAATTCTGTATGAGAGTTTCAGAGGCACGATTGTTGTCAGTGATACAAGACCTCATAGTCCTAGCGAAAGAAACCTGTTTCCGACGTTTTATAAGATTCGGACATTTAACTCCGTGTAATTTAGATAGTTGTTACAGGTATATAGATCCTTTCAGTATGCTTTTTACGAAAAAACGAGCGGTGGAAAGCTGCAGTCTTCAAAATTTGGGAGTATGAGCACAGAGCCTGAGGAGCGACCGATTGAGGAGAGTCATACAAAGTAATTCAGCAAGTAGTTCCTGATGTTTTAGATGTGCATACCAAAGGCCTTACCACTAGAGAAGGGAATCCATGGAGTAAAGTAAGATATACTATTTTTAGGACTTAACTTTCCTAGCCCTCTCTGTTTTGAGAAGGCAACAAAGCTGCACATGCTAATTTTTGGAGGAAACACCTTACTTCCATTACAATAGGGTAAATATTTTAATGCAGCTTAATGGCGTAACGATCATGTACAGCTAGCAGTACGACCGTCTTAAGAATTAGTGCTTCTAGTCTTAGCGTCCTACAACTATCCTAGCTGGGACAGCGTGACCTAAAGGCATGAGTGTTTCTGCCAATATGACTAGGTTGAGCACAACGATAGACAAGCCCAACCACCAAATCAAGGAAGAACTTTCAGTTCTTAGTGGTTAAAATCTCGCAAAACAATTTAAAAATAGATGAGGCTAAAATGAAGATATATGATTAGTTGAGAACATTATTACCAATAAAGCTAGTAGGAATTTACTTGCTATTTAAACAAAATGCATATTCGAAACAAAACTACCAGCAATTTTTAAATAAGACACGAATTGAAATCTGAAGAACTTACGTTGGAGCATCTTGTAGTGTGTCTGAAAAATAACCTTCTTTTGAAGTCGCCGAACATGAATTCAGCTCATGTGACTCTGATGTTCTGCTCATATCAGTGATAGGCAGCGTTATTCTAAAAAGCATTTGAACATGAGCTTAGCCTAGTATCACCAGTGGATTAAAAAGGCTATATATGTACTTAATTGCCGAGGAACACCGCTATAGTTAATACATTCTCTGACTAGTGAATGGGGCAAATCAGATGTAATGCTGACTGGCATCGTAAAAGTAAAATGATTTCTAGGTTAATATCGGTTTTTTATGACGGTACTAACAATCTTGAACCTAAGTAGTGAAGTTCATAATTCTCATACACACACGCTAGTTAGGTGAACTAAAAACTACATTCATATGATAACGTAACAATACACGCGTAAAAATGTTCAGTGGAATGCTTCAACATAGTTTTCTAATTCTACAGTAAAGGAACAGGGAATTTGAAAAGCATCACGGACGAAAATATAACCAAAAATCCTGATTTTGTCTTCCAATGAAAATAGCGCTAATGTATGCATTGTGTTAACATTACCTGAAAAAATCTCTTACGATGCGTCAAATTTCGAAAATCTATTGAACTGAATTAAATAAGCAGTACAGTATAATATTATATGAATCACGAAATGCATGTTTCGAACCATAATACCTAATAACGGGATGAAATGCATGTAGCATTATTTCATAAAACGAACACTATTATAACTAGGCAAAATGAAGTAAATTCAAACAAGTTTTTCTCCACTCCTTGAGAATCAAAAAAATGCATAGAATGAACAAGTTTATTTAACAGTATCAATATTACAACCAACACAACATTTTGTTAACAAATTCCAGTAGTGTGATGAGAAAACTAGTTTTGTATGAAGAATAAGAACATGCAGTCACTGATGGAATCAAAATGAAAATGCAGAAAAAAATTGATCTTATTGTGATACTACCGACGATTGGAATCTTTTGCTGACATCGACAATGGAGTTGGAGTGCGTCTTTTGTCTAGACTATCAATATAATCTTCGATCAAAGCATTACGTTCATCCTCGAAAGCATCCAAGGCGATAAATCTTTTATCTTTCTGCAATACAGAAACCATTATTAAGAATTAAATACATAAGAAATTGACAGCTGTAATATAAAGGAATGTTACTAACCTCAAGAGCCTCCATAATATCTGAAATGTGATTTTCATTCTCTTCAAGAGTTGTTTTGGTTCTATTTTATGAATAATAACACTAAACATATATCAACTTACCGTGTGTTAATTATTTTTGTCTCCCTTAGTAGTTCCTTAAAAGCTTCTTTCGCCTGACTTTTTTTCATATCTACCCATAATAAATATTCGGATTCTTTCTTCTAGACACAGAAAGATTATAAATGAGGGGAAAGGTACGTACTCTGTCATTGGGAATCTTTTCAAAACGAGGATCAGTATTTATTATTTTCTTTGCTTCTTTCCATGACAGATCAAAAGAAATCTACGAAATCGATATTTCTATACTAACTTACTCCTTCGATTTCGTTCAATAGTCGATAAAATATTTCGCGAGATTTTTTAGACAATCCATTGATGTGTTCTTTGAACATCTCTTCACGTTCAGATCGTTCGAACACATCACTAACAGCCTCCCATCTAGGATCTTTACGAAGTAATTTCTTGGCTTCTTTCCATGACAAACTAGGATCACGAATCATATCCTGCAGCATTGAATGAAAGTTTGTTTCTTGTTCATTGCGCAAATGTTGTTCTCTTTCTTTGTCTCTTTCCCTCAACGAAGACGATAATGCCTCTTTCACTTCCTTTTCACGTTCTCTAAGGGATGCTTCTTGACGTTCCTTTTTTTCTCGTTCTTTCCTTGTATAACTATCTTCTCGAACAACGGGGACCTAATTTTTTTAAAAAGTATGCACATGAATGTCTAGAAATGAAAAAGATCTTTACAACCACTTACAACAACTGACTGACACAATCCCAAGCTTTGACAGTAATAACAAAACAGAGAAATAACTACTTATGAACACTGTGCCAAACTAGCACCATATTTTATGTACGTTTATTCAACCTAGTAAGAAAACTATGAAGAAAGTGGTAGTGACACAAACTCGGAAGGAACTGTTCCCATAATAATGTTATGTAAATCAAAATAAATTTGTCGACGATTAGCATCCACAGTGGGATAACAAAACAGGTATTGCTACAAAATCAGCAGTGGATGTTTAAACTGTCTTTGGATAATTGTTAGGATCAGTTAGGACAGTTTTGTAAATGGATAATTATAAGACTATCTGCAGTGGTTTGGGAGACGAAATCAACCTTATTTGATAAAAGCAAGGACAATTTAATGTTTCATGAGTTACTTCTGATTTATTTGAGCATAAAATGACTGGTGACTGCGACCACAATCATCTCAGTCAAACTTAGGATCCGGAAGTAGACTTCATGAAGTCGATGTTCAATTTTGGTAAATTCAAAATCAGCAGAAAGCTTGAAATATGAAACACTAGACGATGACGCTGCTATGATACTATTATATGACTACAAAGATTAGTTTAGAAGTCTGGAACTAGATAATATTAATTCTTCTGTTTGTTCACACAAACTATATGAACTATCCCACGATACACGGTAAGATAAGTTATCCATTTCTATCAAATGCTGAAGTAAAATTAATATGGAATACTAAAAACTTGTGAAGTCAAATAATACTGAACATTGCAGTGGAATGAATCAGAGAATAAACATACTAGTATTAAACATATTCGCCTACTTTCTGCTAAAAAATCGTTGATGTTCCGATTTACTAAATAAACAAAAGTTATCAAAAAATGATGCATTATTTGGTAAACTGCGAACTATCAAAATCTACTTGTTTTCTTGTCTATCAGAATTTGGAGATAAAACATTTTGAATATCTAATGTTTAAACAACACCACACCATACAATCTTGAAAATGAGTTAAATTGCAATCTCTGCATTAACTATCTGAATCTATAAGTTCGAACTCAATCTGGGTCACCTTTGGCACATTCGTGATGTTAGTCCGGCTGTAAAAGGTCGGATCTACAACGCGTCGGTGAGAGCAGTTTTGCTCTATGCTTGTGAAACCTAACTTCTCCGAGTTGAGAAAGTTAGACGACGCTCTGTGTTCGATCATCGCTGTCTCCGAAGGATTGCTGACATCTAGCGGCAACACCATGTCAGTAATGCAGAGGTCCAGCATCGTGTGTTCGGGCACAGAGATGATAATGCAATCGATGTCACCATCTTGAAACACCGACTTCGGTGGCTTGAACATGTTCTACGAATGTCGTCCCAGAGAATTCCACGTCGTGCATTATTTGCCGCCTCTGGGACTGGTTGGAAAAAGCGGAGGTGGTCAGTGCACCAATCTCTTCGTTATTGTTCCCTTTTTTACGCTTCTTACCTTTTTTTCTCTTCGAATTCTCATTGTTTTGTGTGGCGCTTATATATTGACGCCCTCTTGCACCAATATTTATGTGTTCAAATAAATAAATAACTCAAAAATAAAACTTACATCATCAAGTTTACGAATAAATTCTCGGAACCAATCCTCCCTTTTCGAAGAAGAATCTACAGCTTTATATCGAGGATCAGTATCCAACTTGCGTTTGACATCAGTCCAATGAGTGTATCGATTGATACTTTCTTGTTCTTTCAACAGATTGAAGAAGTCAATTTTGACCTACATGGAAGAAAACATAATGCTTAGATCATAATGTGGTAATGACAACTGGATGTGTATGGAAGTACTATGTTACATGGCCGATTTTTAGTAACCCGTATTCCTTATATAACTGCATTTGAACAAAAATTTTGCGCAGAAAAATATTAAGTGATGTGAGCACGCTAGATCCGCTCAGCATAAGCATAAACCAGGAATAAAGTACTTTGGGGTTATTGAAAATAAATATTGTTTGGCTGTAAATTAATAATTCTAACTCTTGGTTGAATGTCTTGAGTAGCGAAAACGAATTTGCGAAGTTACTTATTGTTAAGATCAAATTGAGTGGCACTTCAAACGATGCGAAAACTGAAAGCCTGCTGCTGTTGGTAGATCTTAAGACACGCTTGATTTTTGACTGAGACAGAATGTGTGGTATCTGGTCCACAGGTAGAAATTACACTGCGTTGGAATTACTTCACAAATCTATATATTCAATTAGATTATAGGAATTGAAAATTAGAAATGCTGATGTTAGGTTTTTACCACCAGTTGAGTAGAATTGTGCAGAATAGTTACTTGATTTCGTCTCATTTCATCATGGAAGAAATCAATCAACTAAATGGAACCAAAAAGCTGTTTAGAATATACTGTGATCCAAGTTGAGTTTTAAGATTGGCTAATTGTAATAAACCATGCGTTAGATTTTGCATAAAATCAGTCTCGCACGTAAATGTTTAATATAAAAAGCATGAAATAACTCTATGGACACAGTAAAATTTTACTCTGATGTAGCAAACAGAACGGATGACGTTATAGACAAAATGCGATTTTATTAAAACTTACGAACATCAATTTGTGATCAAAGATATAAAAATAATAATAATAATAATGAAAACGAGATTTTAAAAAAGCACCTGGAAATCAAGGATTTGCATTTATCTGGATTTAGAGCTCATTAATGTATAAACGATTTGTAGTATCAGTCTTTCAACTTTGAAGTTTACGAAACCCAGTGACGATTCTGAATTAGGAATCTATCCCTTCACTATAGATTTGTGATTTCCAATAAAAAACCTTGTGTATAGACGATGGAAATCGCGTAAAAAACTGTTTCTATGTAGTGATTTAGGTGTGTAAGGTCTAATGTATTGTCCTACAATGGGCATGCAGACGAAAATAAGCATACATACGTACAAGTGCACGCTTAATAAAGTAATTCGTACAATGAGTCCGCCAAAAACTAAGACGTAACAAACCTGAGAGAATTGATATCAGAAGTTACACTGGTGTGTTAGGAACCCATCTCATCAATGTGGCATTCCGATTCCTCTTGAAAGCGAATTTCATAGATTTAAAGAACCTAATAAGTACAGATTGGGGTTTATGAATTAAAATGTGCCATAAATGCAACCTAAATTAAATATAATTTACTATTAACAACGACGTGGAGAACGATATTTGAGTAATGTGGACATCTTAAGATTTCGTAAGCATTTCCCACTACAACAGAAACAAACCAACATAAAAGTTTGAACATTAAACAGACTGAAAAATTTACAAGTTACTTAGAATTACAGCACTACAGCATGTGATCAAAATCCACAGATTATTTTAAACGTATTCATTCAGAAAATTCGAATAAATTCACAACACTCAAACTGGTTAATTACCGGATTTAAAAAATTGTTACCCTTGAAATCCGGAAGTTTATAACCCGGAACAACTTAGAGCTGTTATAATGAAAACCCAAAAAATTGTTTTGGTTCATGTTATATCACTTACAATTTTAGCTGATGTTAGAAACAATAAGGCGAACGACTGCCAAAATCAACTGTATAACCATATACCTGACAAATTCAAGTCGATTTACTTCTATAATTATCTCCAATCTGTTGAATGAGCCAATACGAATTTCCAAACGAGTTACTACTCATTTTACATTACTTTTAGCCCAAATCCTGAAATTTGTTATGACATTAGAGTGATATACATATCCCAGTAGTTCCAGGGATCATAATTTTAACAAGAAATGAAAATTACGTCCTATATTATTGTGAAGTATTAAATCTCTTTTCCCCAATTTATAACTTTACTGAGATGTATACGATGTTTGGATATAGTGACACGTTAATTTCCACCTCTATTCAACAAAACACTTCGATATATTATAATTTTGGAGCGGAACATATATCTGATTGAACGCGTGAACGTTCTGCATAGGCTTACCAAATTATAATAGCATCCAAGTAAATGTGATTGCATTTTTAACTATTGTGTGCATTTTGTGCAAATTGTTTAACTTTTTCTTACTTCAGATCATTAAACGTGCGTAGACAACTTATCAAATTGGTAATTTGTATCAATACTGTTGAATAATTCAGTTTAGTGGAGAAAGTATCTGTAAACTATTCATCACAGAAAACTTACTTTGTGGTAAGACAACTATCTATTATTCAAGAAATTTAATGAAAAACATGACTGTTTTCATAGCTTTATGTGAAAAAATCTCATACCAACATTAATGATTTGTTTTCAAAGATTTCACTGGGTTTTTTTACACTAAACGGTGCGAATGACCAACTCATATGCCCTTCTTTGTCCAGAATGACCAAATTATGTCCAGCTACAATCGTGAAAAAACTACGAAGCTTGTCATTAACTTTAAAGATGCCTAAAGATAGCACTTTTCTTGTACTAATTGATCACTCTTGATCACAATTCTAATTAAAAAAGAAATTATAAAAAACATTAAGGGCTTTTCAACGGGACCGTTTCACGTTATTTAGTAAGTGGCGTACTAATGGTGTCATGTTTTGAAACGTTTAACTTCTTTAATAACATTAATTACACGGTCAACAAAAGATTTTAAGCTTTAGAAACCATTCGTTTTAGATCTAAAGGGTGAACAAATATGCCAAACTATATGCAGGAGAATAATTTAAACATGCCCATTCATGTGATGAGGAAAAATTGTAATTAGTTTCTACTGAAAAAAATAGGAACCTTCATACCTAAAATTTCTTAAATAATTTTCCATACGTAATTAGCGTCTTATTTTGTGACGATACTTTGTACACACGTCTTTAGCAAATAACCCGAGATATTTGGAATACATATTAGCGCAACTTACTAATATTCAAATGTCCTCCAGTTTCAATAATGTACATGCTAACAATTGTCTGACTGTTTAACCCGAGTATTTATTCATAGCTTTAAATTTTGATATTGACTGAACCACAACACAGAAAAATGTGTCCATCACACATTTTGGACGAGGTGTCGACAATAGAAAAGATGAAACAAGAATGGAGGAGCAAATACTGATACATTCCTACACATGAATAGATCAGAGGAGTAATTGCTGATCCGAAATTAGACGTGCACAAAGAGCAAACATTTCAGTGTAGTTGGGGTTTGATTACTTCACAATGTTGAGCAAACGAATACACAAGACGTTAAATGAAGTAACTAGTGGAGTCTTGAATGTAAATTGACAAATTAAAAAAGTAGACATACCAGAGGAAAAACAAATACTTTTTGAAAATCAAATTATCAACTTTATTAGTTTCAATGTAAAAATTGTTAGCAATTCCGTTAAGAAATCTGCATATTATGCAATTTTTCAGCGTCAATATGTCCAAAGAAATTTGCAACGAACAAGCCGATTTAGTACGTGTTGACTTCTGAAAACAGTAGCACACTAGAGCTGTTATATTACAAACAATCCGGATTCCGAAAGGTAGTTCGCCTAGTTTATTTGTTGTATGCTAATATAATGTTTGAAAACGTTAATCTGAAATGTACCAAATCTTACACGCTCATTAAAATTTGGAAAATAAAGTCACATACCAATACGCAGTCACACATCAAAATGAGCATAGATTGTAATTTGAAATTTAAAACTGTAAATTATCGCGTAAATTACACTTTCAAAGAACAAAAAGCAATTAATTAAATCGTTAGAAATGTCTCACCGGAAGAATGCAGTATGTAGGAAATGCGATGGTTGGGACTTAATGCAATCTGTATGTGTTCCAGATGCTAACGCAGTTCTCTTAATAACTTTCATTACTACACTGTTTGATATCGAGATAACTGCAGGAAATTGTTTAAGTTTTATGTATCAGCATTTTCGTGCGATTACAACCTTCCAAATTGAATCTACAATACTAACAAACTTCAAAACTTAACGACTAGAAAGACCACCAACAATTTGAGCAATTTATGTACAATCGAGAATTGCTTCATGTCAAGGGTTGCCTTGAGTGCATGGTTAAAAATTAGGTGAGTAACTCGGACTCTCTTAAAATTAATTTAATTGAGGCACTCAGTTCATGGTAATACATAATAAACCTACCTTTTCTTTTTCACGATGCTTGTCCTCTTTTTCACGTTTCCTTAATTCTACTAAGTAATCTTGAAACATGGCTTCACGATCACGGGATTTCTCGATTGCTTTAAAGCGATCGTCCTTCGAAAACTTTGAAGTAAAATCTCCAAACGACGATCTAAAAAGCATAAAATATAATTATGAAAACCGTGCATTATTATTAACATCATTGTTATTATCGATTATACAGTTACTCTGACTACAGGTGACGTAGAAAATATACACATTTTCTCACAGTGCCGAATGTAACACAGACATGATACAATATTTGACGCTGGACAATTAAGTTTGAAGGGATGATATTGACTGCAATCTGTTTGCGATCACATTTCTTTACCATAGTGGGTCAGTGGTGTCATTACGTCGCAAAAATCAATATACATCAGTCGTTGCAGAACTGGGACAAATCAGTTATCCAACATGTACACGAAAACACTAATATACTTTAAGGGCAAAAATAACAAGTGGCTTTTTGACTTTAACTAGAGATCATGATTTGCAATAACATTGGGTTTTTAAGAACTTACTTCGAGTTTAGCCCAGCCTCATCCATAAGTTCGATGAACTTTTCTTTTTTTTCTTTAAGCTTGCTCTTTTTCTCACGTCGTTCTTCTTCTGCACGCTCTTTGACGTAGGCTTCGAATGTCTGCTTCCTTTCTTTACTTGCAAGCAACAGGTACCGTGGGTCAAACACGATCTTGTGCAGCTCTTTCTCCCAGGTGGAGAAAGCCGAAACCTAAAAAAGGATAATAAAAGCTATTAATGCAGAAAAGCGTAAGCAATGTCAGCATAAATAAAAAATGAAAAACAATTCCACATCAACTTAGGCTGCCACAATTTGGATTAGTTAAATACAGAATTATCAAGACGAAAGCCGACATACCTGCATTTCGACCAGCATCTCCCTGAACCGTCGTACACGAACTTCCAGCGGTTGTACAGCTCTTTCTCTGGCGGCCCTTTCTTCGGCTTCTTTGGCAGCTTCTAGTCCAATGGGGATCTTATCCAGCGAACTGCCTAACTTATCTGCATCGTTCTCATCTGTTTGTTCAACAGCTGCAGGTGCTTCTACTTCATTTGCAGGACCATTAATTTCGTCATTTTCACTGGGAGAAAAAACAGTTTAGTGAAACACGTCAACGAAACTAAGTGGCAAGAAATCTAAATCTCTCGACATATTTTTACTTTTCCACACTGATGAACCACGATATTTCCCTAGCTTAAGATCATACGACAACGTAAAATTACAAATACTATCTACATGCCCGTATCCTTTACACGACTAAACCAGATAAATGAAGCAATTAATAAGTATGGCTTTCGCGAACCCAACCACTAGTTGTTACTGTTCTCGCAAAACCCATCGTTTTTTTCAAAATACTATCTTATTAATTGAAATTATTGAATACAAACGAGGCTTACAGGCGCGGTCTTTTAGGGACAGGGTCGCCATCGACTGCTTCAGATTCATTGTCATTACCCGTAGGGTTTACTTGAGGTGAGGCAGCGTTCCCTGACAATGATGTATTTGGTTGTTTTTCCAGTAAACGATCAACATCTGTTCGGCCTTTGAGTTCATCAGGTTTCTCCCAAACAGAGAGCCGCTGACTCGGGTTGAAGAAAAATGCACGACCATCACCAGTCCACACAACACACCATGGAGTCCCATGGACGGCCGTGCTAGATACCGGTCGGCTACTATCCTTTGGGGTTTTGCCTGAGTCCGCTTTAGACTCCTGCTCACTTGACTCCACGACTCCGTTTTCAATCGCATCAGATTTCAAAGTTTCTGCAGTTTTAGGATTTTCATTCGATTCAGGTACAGCCGTCTTTTTAATCTCAGCCACCTGAAAAGAAAAAGAAGAGTTTACTGCATGTCCAGAGCGGTATTAAAATACAATATATTTAACCTAATTCAGATTTGGTAGTAAGTGGTCACAAGATGGATATTGAATTTAATTGTGATAAAAAGAACAGCAGTCAAAATAAGGTGTGCAATAAACGTTTACTCACAGGAATAGCGACGGTTGTTGGTGTAGCAGCTACCTTCGTCGTTGTAGAGAGGCTTGGTTGTTCTGGTATCTTTTGATTACTCGGCTCTGACTGTTGCTCTAGAAAGAATATAATGTACAGAAATCTCAACTTACTTTCCCAATCAATCAACACCTTTGGTTTCTCCCAAGTTGTCTCCCCTGTTTTCATATTGTGATAGTAGGCTTTGCCATCCTGATTATGATACTCAGTCCAGACTGCGACCTCAGGAGGCTTAGTGAGAGTAGCTGGAGAGACAGACGGTGCGCCAACACTTGTCGAAACAGATGTTGTAGTCATTTGCAACGTTGTTGCCGGCTTTATAGTGCCTTCTACTTCACCTTGGCGTACAACTGTGACTCCTTCAGGTCTATCCCAGCGGGTCTCACGAGTTCGCATGTTGTAATAGTATGACTTCCCCTCGGCTGTAAGATTTTCGACCCAAATGTCGTCGACGATTCTGGGTTGCATCATGGTCGGAGGGAAAGGGTTAACAGGGATCACGGGTGGCATGAAAGGCATAGGTGGACGGAAATGAGACAAAGGATGTGGCATGGGAGGCATCCCAGGAATAGGTGGAGGGCCCATCATTGGCATAGGTGGCATCGTTGGGCACGGTAGAGTCGTGCCAGGAGGCATTCCAGGTCCTGGAATAGCTTGCACAGCCATGGGTCTGGGCGGAGCAGGCATCGCAGGAAAACAAGGTGGTGGAAGACCAAAATGTGAACCTGTAAACAGACAAATGTACCTCAGTAAACCAACGTAACGCACATTAAAACTAGGATTATTACTAACACGGAGTTAAGAATCGAAAGATATAAAAACGTAGTGCTGGGACTGTATGAGTCTCCAAATAAACTGCTGGGTGACCAACTTACCGTCTGAAGCAGTTGGAATCGCAGTCGGATAGGTAAACGGTGGTGGAACGTTTGAGGCTGGTTGCGCGACTGGAGTTACTGGAATTGGGGGAGCAGCAGCGGGAGGCTGAGCAGACGTTTGTGTGGCTGGAGACTGAGTCGCAGACTGTGGGCAAACTGGCGCAGGCGCACCAGCTGGGGGAGCGACGGGGACCGGTGGGTTGGCTAGAGTTGGTGGCAGGTTGTTTTGAACATTTGAAGGGGTGCCTTGGGACGAAGCACTTTGAGGGCCAGTTGGTGTCCCAGCAAATTGTGAAGGGCCATTATAAGACCCAGCAGGTTGCGAATTAGATCCAGGGCCGCCATAAGGGGCGGTTGGAGGAACAGGGAAGGGACCAGCAGGAGGTGCTCCAAATGGCCTTGTGGGTGGAGCAAACTGCTGACCCGATGGTAGGTTTGAACCAGGATCACCCATCTGAGACGCTGGAGGACCATTGTAAGGGGGACCGCCGAACTGAGACACAGGAGGGCCATTGAATGATGGGGCCCCGAAGGGCTGGTTGTTTTGGTTTCCGGAATAAGGAGCTCCAGATCCACCATAAGGTGCTTGTGGTCCACCATAATGGGACCCAGGTGGATTATTGAATGAAGCGTTTGTACCATAAGGCTGGTGCCCGCCCGAACCCGCTGGAGGGATAGCGCCTGGTTGTTGATGGTCAGGAGGCATCTGTTTGTTGGGAGGCATGAATTGAGGTGGTGGACCGCGCATGCGCATGTGCTGCATATTAGAATACGAATTGGGGGGCATTGACATATCCCCGTGACCTGGGTAGTTCATGTCACCGGAAGGATGCGTTTCGTCCATCTGCTCATCCATTTGATCCTCGTTTATACCTTGAAAACGTCCAGGATACTGTGGACTAAACCTTGGTGGGTATCCCCGGTTCATACCCATTGGGTGACCGTATCCATCATATTGAGGACCACGATGTGGACCCATTCCTGATCGCATGAAATTCCCTCTAAAACAAAAATGCTCATAAATACAACAACATACCGACCGCCACCATGCATCTGCATTCGTGGGTGCCCCCTGTAGCCACCCTGGAATCTTGGACGAAATAGAGGCCTGCAAAAAACAGAACACCTATCAGCTGACAGCACACTTAAGTCAATACATCCTCATTTAATTGATGTAAAAAGTTAACTAACCTCATCATTCTCATGTGGCGAGGTCCGGGACCTGGGTAACGATCATCATGTTTATGCACAGGGGAATCATCTGGATAACGATCATCCGGAAACCGCATGTCATCTTGATACCGCCCATCATCCGAAAAGTTATTTTCTGACTGAAACGGAGGGTCTTCGTCCGGAAAGCCCTCATCTCTATCATGATCATCATCAAAATCACCACGATCACCATCCATCGAAGACATGTTTGCTGACAACGCATACGACGATTTAAACATAGTATAAATACAGCACAACTGATCATTGTCCAATTTGAATGCGTCGTGAAATTAAAAATTTTTCTCTGGTATTAATTTTGTTTTCCCTTTCACAAATATCAAATTTATGAAGTTTTATGCCTCGTTCAACGCTTGATCCACAATCTTTCTGGGGAAATGGCCGATTGCCTGATTTTAGCTGCAAAGTCCAGGATCCTGGTTTTAATATATCTTAAACTTAAATAAACATACGTCTACTTGTCGTATTTCACCCTTTAGTGTGGTCTACAAATGTCTGCCTGTTGTCTAATGACTTGATTAACTGAACACTGAGAACATCATACATTCGTCAGGTTATGCCTTCTAAAACACATCTAGTTGGGAAAATTCGGCATATATTCTGCGTAAACCCCGCTAGGCCCAAGCACACCATAATATCTCGTTGAATGCTATTCCAAACTGTCACTTGAATGTGACGCACTTGTACAAATAGTGTCATTCTATAGCTCTTAGAGGAACTGTGTATACTTTATAAAAAGGTAATGTATTTCGCCTAAGATTGTAATAGTTTATCTCTTTTATCTACAGAGCTAAAATTCGGAGTTATCTGTGAAATGAGGGGCTGCCGTACTATTTGAAAATGCTACAGATATTTGGAGCTTGACGATGCCCTTACACGTAACTCTCTCATAATCGATGGATATCAACCCAGTCAAATCCAAGGTCAGAAAGTAAAGGATTCTAAGATATATTTGTAAAGATGTCGGTATGTCAAAAAACGTTCAGTCCAAGCCGGCTGAGAGTTGCAGTGGATGCGTAGCACGGCAAATCCACTCGTGATCTGTTGCGGATACGTGACTGAGTACTTTCAGCCAGGATGTGTCCAGTATGACTAATGAGGCCAGCAGCAATATGGGAGATTAACATAACTGTACATTTTGAGGGTTTGTTTAACGCTACACACTCATTCGTGCTTAAAATTGGGTTTTTATATTTCTAGACATGGTGGTTTTTTAATCATTCAGCGAGATGTTTCCAAAATGATCACAGAGTTTTCATTCAAATCCTGAGGACTTTATAATAATGGTTAACAAGGAAATAACAAAAAAGTCGATTAGTGCCCAGAAAGCGGAACTTTGTAGAATATAACTAATTACGTCATATACGATGCTTAGTCTCAGTTACCAGAGACTCTATGACCTATAGTTCTTGTTGATTAGCAAATATAAGCAAAGCGTGTCTATAATCTTAGATTAAAGAATGATTCCACAGAGATTAGGATCTGAGGCGTTCTGTACCACAATCAGAGGCGTAACCAACCGGCTACACGGTTCGCGACTAACGACTTAGAGAACTGAGGTATTTACGTTGACCGATTACTGAGTAGTAATTGTGGGAAGCAATTTCCTACAGGTACAATTTCGAGCAAATCCCCAAACTACTAAACGCGAATTTAACTAAGCCTACGTCAAAACAAATAAACCACTCGACTTGACAATTGTTATGTTTCTTAAACATAAATTGACAGCGTTTATAGTCAAAGAAACATGTAATGCAGTCAATTAAACAGGGCAAAAGAGTGACATAAATAAGATACTAAATGGCAACTAATGGATAGCAAAAGCGATTCAACAAGACTTAGTATTTTTCATGACAAACATAAAAGAAAGCGATTGATGAGTAAACAACGCGGTCATACAAAGTTAAAAAAACCAAGGTGGTGGTGGGGTTAGTGCAGTGATTGATAAGTTTGATTATCGATCGTGCCTTACAGAAGATAAATTTGCATTTGTCCTGTCATTAGCATTGAATAAATATTAATGATCAGGTTACAATGTGGCCACTAATCATAATTCCTGAACTTAACATGCGGTACACTTTAATGTTGGGTAGCTGGAGTAATCCGGTAGAAAAAGAAACCATTTTATAAGGAATTCTTTCTTTCATTACGGTCGAGGTTCACTTTAACAGAAACCCCTCTTAATACAGGCTTGTGGCTTCCGGATTCCCTCTAAAGTCGTTTAGGGTTATTTCCGATCATAAGCCTTCATAAAGGACGAGGGTTAGGTAAGAAATTAGCAACCCTGTGTTGCATAAGAACTTCACCAAAAATCGTGAAACAGCACAAACCAGTAAATCCCCTCAAATTTTGTTCCGAATTTCGAGGGGTCTTCATAGAAAAGGGTTGTAACTCCCCGTAGTAAAAGCTGAGATTATTCGTGAACCATGAAACCAGTCACCCTTCTGAAAACCAGGTCACTAATTAAAATAGGTACATGGGATATCTGAACAATGTGCGAAATCAACGGGTCATTCAAGTGGCGGTGGAAATGAGTCTGTCAGTGCTAGAGCCAGACGAGACTCGTCGGACATAATATGGGTAAAAAATACTGACTTTCAGAGGGGTGTTTCGGTATTCTTGTTACAGAGAAGAAAATACCCAATGCACAAGGAGTTGTACTGATGCTCGAAGTACAAAATTATCGCTAACTGGCCAATATTTCCTCTCTGGGCAATTTGATGAAAAATTCCAAGTGCGATGTGAAGCATGAGCGTTTAGTCATAAACCAGTGTTGGAATGAGCTCATCAGGTTAGCCGAAAGTAAAAATAATAGTAGCTGTTTGTGGGTGATTTTTCCCATTGTTCTTGATAACACGGATATCAAGTTAATAGGCCTTTAGTTAGCAGTATCACTACGAGATATCATTTTGAATATATGGGTGATAAGAGATGTTTCCCGTACAGACAGATAGGCTCCATATTCCATTGATAGATTGAAAAGTTTTAAACAAGATAATGGGGATTCTATACCACAATATTTCTCAAGCGATGAAGAAGTCCCGTTAGGTCCGCCATCATACTACTTTTTCAGGGCAGTTATGGCCTGCTTGATGTTGTTGCATATTAAATCGATTTCGGATATATGTCTGGAGGTCAACATTGGAAACGTATTGATGGATGTTTCTGTTTCAGAGTTGTGGCGTTGCGATAAATGCTTCAGTACGGTTCACAAGTAGCATTGGCGTCGTCAACAATACTCCCGTCAAATATGAAGAATTTTGTTGTGCCGAGACAATTCGATTTCACACGGGATTTGAAAAGCCGGAGTATTGGTAATTCTGGGCTTTAACTACCTAGGGCTTTATTCTCAATAGTCATAAGACACATGCGTTTAGATGAATCAGTTCTTTTGATCGGGTTAAGTAGTTTCTGAAGTGCATACACGACATGATGCTTGTGGTAGCGATAATTCAATTTTCTCAGCTTTATCTTAAAGGTTTGAAAAGCATTTCGGCCCATATTAGCGTTATAAGGCACATGACCGATAATTAAGGCAGTGCAGTCAAGGCAATATATCAGGTTGTGGTATAAGTCAGAAAACGCAGTGTCAATAATACTTGTGGTGAAATAAGATTCACATGGTAAGCACCAAATAAGAGTTTTAGTGCGCTGCCAAGTTCGTTGATCAAACTGCCTGCTCTGATATATTACTGAAGTTTTAGATTTCAATTCTATAGTGTTTAAAGAATGAAGAATACCGAATACTACTCTTCAAAGACACGAGACTGATCTTAAATAATTGTCATACTCACACGAGACCCATGGAGCAGATAATTACATAGTACGGTGTGAAACATTAACTAAGATTCTCCGGTATTGTGAAAAGAACGTCCCCATTGCGATTTTACTATGTTATCTGTTGCAACTGAAACCATCGGCTTCTATCCGGTTGTATGGAATTACTTTTTTATCGTAAGCTGGTGAGTACACATCAGATTTGGTCTATGGTTGGTAGTTAGTTCATTGTTGACACTCGCAAAGTCACTGTAGTAGAATAATAAAGCGGTGAGTCCTTCAGATGAATTAATAATAGTAATAACCTTGCAAATTATTTTATCCTTTAGAATTATTGTTTGGCCCTTTTTAGTTAGTGTCTGTGATGAACTTATAAAAAGTATAAAAATGCCATTGAAATGCAATAAATCACATCGGCTACTTTAGCTTGTGGTGACCTACCTTTATCAAGAGAACGCGATTGGTGTAAGGAAAAGGATTATTATTATTATAACCAATTGTACCAGGGATTGTTTAACCGTACTTGTTTGTTTAACTGTACTAAAATACATACATTCTTCTGTTGATTGTGACCTTGCACGAATTCGATTGCGCCCAGTAACCACAGTTGTAACCTGGCACGATCTCGGTATTCTTTTGATACTACGAGATCGCCAACAAATACATTTTGACTACAGCCATCAATTGCCTTCCGATATTTGACCTACGGGGGATCTTACCGGTTAACTGGCACGTAGTCTTCCTGTAGTGGTGATCATAGTCAACCGCGACTCAACGCCACACTATAACAGTCCTAAGTAATTGCAAAGGATAATCATATATTAACTTCGATGTGTTACATGTGTGACGCCACACCATAAGCTCATGATCTGCACACGGGGTAGGCATTCATCAGAGTCTAGCTTAGGCACCATACCATATTCATTTCGGTTGCTAGGTAGACACTTTAGTCAAATTCAGCACTTTATTAACCAAATACGCCGATTTGTACTAATCTTATCACAAGGTTTTGGTGCTTCTGAGAATAATATAGTCCGTAAGCACTTGAAAGTCATGGGAGATAACTATGTACAATGACAAGTAAAAAGTTTGATCGCTGAAGCAACAGATACGACTAACATTTCCATCATCAGCGATGTTCAAATAACACTTAAGCAAGTTCTGGCAAACGATTTTTGAAACCATGACCTGGAATGTCATATGAAAGTATACACTCAGTCATTTTAAAGCGGCGCATAAATGTTTTATGTCATCTGGTGGACAGCTCAATAAAGTCTCAACGATTATTAAGGCGGTATTAACAACTTACACATTAACCGAGTTTTAGAGGTCAGAACAGAAAAAATCCAAAATGCTGTTGGGCAGTAGCTTTTCGTCCAATATCACCAACGATATTAAAATTTTCGTCGGATGCCTATGTTGGACAACCAACAAATGAATACAA